GCTCTAATGTTTCACTTGTTTGAGCCGAGCTGTGTTAGTTCTCGGTCCTGTGCTGTCTTAAATGCTATTACGTGTTTGCATAGGGAGTCTGAGACTGTTAAATACTACAGGAAGCCTAAGCACTGGGACTTCACCCCATGTTGAATACTAAAGTAATCTGTTAGAGTTGGGAAATAATGTCTGCAAGCACCATGCAGCGTTTTCTGTCAATCTTGTAAAGCATTTTGTTGGTCTGGTCTGTGTGTTGTAAAACTGAAGAGCTTTCAGTGCTTAAGAGACTGCCGGTCCTTAGCTACTGAGGGTACATCCTTTGCATTCAGGAAGTGCTTGGCAAATGGTCTATGTTCCATCTCCACCTTAGAAGTCTGCAAACTCTGCTGTGTTCAATGCTTTTATAGAGTGCATGTTTGATGTTAACATGTGCTCATAAAACCAGTATTTGCCCTCATTTTAAATGAGCTCCAACTAACATAAAGTGAAAGTGTGAAGTTAAAACAGGTCATGGTGTTTTACTTTTAATGCTTTATGTTTGGCAACAACAGCCAAAAAAACTGAAAAAAAAAAAAAAAAAAAACCTGAGTGGAAGTGAGATTGGTCAAGTGACCGCAATCTCCTCATGCTGAATATATGAGGAGATTGGAGGAAAAGCTCTCCAATCTCCCCTAGATGTTTGTTTACCAGAGGATCTCATGAACTAATTCTTTGCTAGCTGAGGGATTTTGAGCTGTTTTTTAGTGCTTGGCTCTGCAAAAGAGCTGCTCAGGATTCACGGAAAATAAGGTCGCTGTATGAAAGGTGCCCTGTTATCAATGTTTCTGTTAAAGTGCAGTTTGGATGTTTTACTGATCCATGATTTTACCTGCTCCCATTTCATTCCTTAAAACACTAACCTGCTATTCTTAATCAGACTTAGTTACACTGACAAGAGAAGCAGATAACACTTAAAAGTTAACGTGGATAATATTATTTTTTTATTTTTTCTAATGCCATGAAAAGAAAGTGAAATTAGTCCTTATTCAGTTTGTCTTTCAGTTTCTGTTTTGCATCCAGCAGCAGCTTCTATAAAAATAGCCATGTTGACATTTGAAGAATAAGCATAATTTACCAAGGGCTACACTCCAATCAGGCGATGGCCTCACTGTACCACCCAGAACATGGTAAAAAAAAAAAAACATCACTGCTTTTTTAATGGTTACTGTAATGGAATAGTCTACAAAAACCCTTAAAAACTTCACATGAGCATATTATCCATTAGACTCTATGTCTTTTTAATATTTCAAAAGGAGAGTCTGGATTATTTCTTAAATGTTCATTTTAAAAAGCCCAGTAGAGATTTTCACCTTTCTCCCCCTTCATTGTTAATGAGACAGCTCCATCCCAGAGTTCAAGATGGATTTTATTATTTTATGATTATATTTCAGCCAATTAATATTGGTTTTGCTTGGATGAGACATGACTTAAGTATAGTCCTTTTTCCCAAATCTGCTTAAAGATTGGATACTATTCAGGAGAAAAACTAAGTTGAATGATTCTCAGCTGTGTCAACTTTTTTGTGAAAAGTCCCCATGTCTGTGCATACTTCAGCAAGAGTATAAATGGGCATTTGTGAACTTTTAGTTCACAAATGACACTTTGTGAACTAAAAGTTCTACTAAAAGACCATAAAGAAAGTTTTGTTAACTTCAATTTCTTTACAATAGTTACTGTATGTCACATTGTTCATACACTGTATGAACAATTTTGTTTTGGATCACTTAATTTTTGGCTGTAACAGGGGTCTTCATATTTTGTTTAGGCTTTTTGAATGTAATGCTGCCTAAAACAAATGTGTGCAACAAGATACTATAGTTAGCATGTCAGTTGGTAAAATTAATGGTACACTGCAGACTTACACTGAAAAGTGACCCTGGATTAAGCTGTGGACACTGTTTTGTTGATGCAGAACTTGCTATCCAAGTTTGTCTTTACTTTGTGCAATCCTAAGAGGAATGGTACTCAGCATCAACTTGGGGCCATACGGTGTCAGAACCATTTAATGTAGCTACTCCATCCTATCTGACCGACTCCATTAAATATTAATATAGCACATTGCTGACCTCATCACCATCATCATCCTCCATATCCCATGCTGGTCTAATCATTTGCATGCAAGCTTCTCTTTGTCCCTCTTCAGGAAGTCATTTACTCCTTGTCCCATCCATCAGTCATTTCACTGTATCAGCTGATAGTCCTGCCTCATCTGCTCTCACCACATAAATGCTCTACTTCGTATTCTCTTGTACCTCTTTGTTGCGCCGGCGCTCAAACTTGTGTAAGTAGATTACCTTGTACATCTTTCACCATACTTTAATATTTTTATAACCTGATTGCTGCAAACCAAAAGTGAAATTTGACATGAAAAACTATGTGTATGGGGAGTGAGGTAGAAAGAGAACAAGTGAGATACTGTTGTGGTTTAACTGATGAATTATTCAAAGATTTGCTGGCTCATGAGAGAAGCTATATTTTAGGGCCCTTTGTGTTTGTGTACATGCTGTGTTTGCAACCTGAGGATTGCAAAAATGTGCATAGGTTTACTGTATTTGTATAATTAATGCACAGACTCATCAGTAAATCTCTAGGTATGTCGTTTGGAAGGTGGAAATACGTTGGACTCCAGGTGTTTGTGGGGGCTATGGACACACAGTAGAAACAGTCTTATGATGACTGCAGACTGATATATACAGTTTTATTTTTTCTGTATTGGGCGTATAGCCAATCAGCAGCAAGGAAAATAAATATGGCTCTTGGATTGGATATTTTACAAATGCCAGCCAATTTTGTGTTATATAGAATTATGACCAGGTATTTCAGCTTTCCAAGCTGCATTTTCTTCTGAAATCATTAGATTTGTTCAATGAAAAAAAATCCATGAATAGGTGGATTTTTTGCACATAACTTGACTCGGAGTCACATTTTACATAAAAATATTAAAGTCATCAACTGCAAATAGGTGGGGATCCACTGTACATTTTTGTGTGTGTGTCTTGAATTTCTGAAATATTCATAAATTTGAGCTTCTTGGTAGACATTTTTGATTAGAAGAGAAGACACTGGTCTGTGTCATCTTCTCTTTTTTGTCCTTCATCAGTTAACATTTTCACTAGCAAGATTTTTTTTCTCTCAAAGACTTTAATCTTCTTCATTAGAAATTCTTCATGTACTCTTTGCCCACTGATTCTCAGGATTGTATTTTAAACTAAAATGTGTGAGAAACAATGTTGAGATACAGATGCAGTAAGAATTTTACCTGCAGTCATCACAGGAATAAATATATGAATTTACTGATTTTAAATTACGTTTTTCCCAGGATTGAGTGATTATACAACATACAACTTAAATTATTAACCACTACTGATATTTAATTAGTTGTCTGTCCACCACATGCTTAATGTAGCTATTAACAAGTTTGTGAGTAAACATAGTTAGATATTTGACTTTGCATCTCCCAAGGTCACAGTTGTTTGTTGTCTCTCTGGACCATAAAACTAGAGTTTCTTGGGACATCTAGCCTTTGATCCACTCTCCTGCTAGGTGTCAACTCTTTCCCTCTGGTTGGCACCTGTGGTCCCCTTGTCCTCCTGTCAGGGCAATTGTAACTGCCAGCATCTTGCTCTGTTCCCAGGATTCTCTGGTTCAGTTCCCGTCCCCCTCTGGGGTCGTAAATTTCAGTTCCCAAGACTCTGGGTTGTATGCAAACGACCCATTCTTCCTACCAGGCTTAGTGTCACCCTGGCCATCCGTCTCCAAAGTGACAAACTCATTGCTTCAAAGATGAAAGAAACACAGATCCCAGGGGCAAACAAAGGTTTATCAACCCTTATAGTCTCCTAATCTTGAAAATTTATATTTGTATTTATCTAAAAACCTAACTATATATATATATATATATATATATATATATATATATATATATATATATATATATATATATATATATATATATATATATATATATATATATATATATATATATATATATATATATATATATATATATATATATATATATATATATATATATATATATATATATATATATATATATATATATATATATAGTCTTTCCCTAATTTTAAGATGGGTTTGATGAAAAAGAAAAACATAAAAAATGTATAAAGCACACTGTATTTTAAGTTTGTTTATTTTTTTTCTTCAAAGGCTCCTTTTCTCCCTGCAGCACATATGTTAGCCTTAGTCTAATGGTTGGAACTGTCATTTTCCTTCCCATTCTCCCCCTCCGCTCGCTCTGCTTCTCCCTCTCTCCTCACTAGTCTTCATCTTTGTCAGACTTTGGTGCTTTTTATTGTGTCTTGGGGAGGCTCAGATGACACTTAACACACATCCTGCAATCATTAGCAACTTATTTCACACTCACTTCAGGTTTTATCCATTTTAATAGGTGCTTTGGTTTTGGTGGCCCTCACTGATGCCTCTTTCTTTCACACTTGTCTTCACTTTTCTCTCATTGCTGAGACTAAATGATTTAATCGAAGAGGATATTGTGAATTAATGCTGTGAAATTTTAAACTGTTCAAAAGAGAATGTTCTGGAATTTTACAAGGGAGATATTAACTGAATCCATATTTTTCAAAATTTTATGCTACAGTCATGATAATTTCAGAAGTTTTTTTCCTATTTTGAGTTAGCGGTATAGCACCGCATTAAGTGTCAGTTGGCATGACATTAGTCTTGGGATCAATTACTTCAAGATAATCTGTGGCTGTTTGTTAAGTCTGCTGAGTGCTGAAGTGTATTAAGCCTGTGAGTTATGACGCCGTTATCACCCACCATTGAGGTCCTTCTTGTTGCCAACAGTTACTCTCTCATTTGTTGCCTGAATCTCTCACTCTTTCTGTATCTTTACCCTTCTTTCCCATTTTTCCCTCCTTAGCTCTTCTCATAGTATGCCTGATTGCAAAGAAAATCTGATTTTTGACTTCTCCACTGTGTCTTTTCAGGACGAGAAGTCCACTTTCTTCCAGTTTGGCGCAGCCTTGCAGCAGGAGGCTCTTCTCATGCTTGCAATCATGGAGGAGTATGACTGGCATGTTTTTTCTATAGTAACATCCAAGTTCCCCGGCTATCAGGACTTCATTAGCACTCTGAAAGTGACTGTGGATCACAGGTACAAATACACCCTGAAGCCCTCTCACATACTCTGAAAATTCTGTGTTGTAGGCATGCTCATAAGTGCTGTTCCACATATTTGTTTTCACCCAGAAAGAAATATAAATGAGGTTTTTGACAAGCTTTTGATTGGGGTTTTCTTCATATTTCATCATAGAAGATGTCGTAAAAACCAACCCTACACAGAATATTACAAAATAACTTATTCTCCTAAGTTAAAATATCATCAAAAATGGATTTATTTTATTTTTTGAACTGAAAATATAAAAGAAAGAGTCACTGACACCCGCCACAAGGAAGGTAAGCCACAAGAAGTCCTTATTAAAGAAGTTGGCTGCTTTCAAAGTGTTGCATCTTCATTTATTTGAAAGATAAAGCTGTTGTATATAACTTTTAAAAAAATTTGTTTACATTTTTTTGCAAAAATGTAAAAAACATTTACATTTTTGTAAATGTAAACTGCCTCTTCTTGTTAAAACTGCTTCTATGTTGTAAAAAGATTAATGTTCTCCTCCTCCTCCCTTATCTACTATTGCTGAAATACATCAAATAGACCAACAATCAACCAAAAACAACCAATCAAAGCCAGGAGAAGGGTCTTAGTTCTATCAACCAGCCTCATATAGTCATTGCTCAGTGTAGTAATGGTGGAAGAACAATTTACTTACAGAAAAAGCCACCGTCATCAGTGGATAAGCGAACAACTGGCTCTGTAACCAAGAAGAAACTGCAGCATAGTAGAGAGTAAGAGGGACAGGAGAATGAGCAGCACCACACAAGATTGTGATTGACAGAGCTAAAACCTTCTCATGGCTCTGATTATAGTTAGCTCTTAGAGAAGGCAGAAGAGCTCAATTTTTTTTTCATAACGTATTGTCACGATATAGTGACAGTTTCAGCAAATATGTAAAACATATATCTATAGATTTTTTAAATAAAAGTTACATACCCAAGTTTTAAGTCAAAGGGAAAAGTATGGTTGAAATTTGACCAAATAAATACAGCCTTGACATGATTGTAAAGAAAACCTTGGGGTAACAGTCTGGGAGAAAATCAGAAGATGAGCCTCCACACATCCAGGTCATGAACTAGAACTGCTGAATGTCTTGTGTTTAGAACGCAGAGGCACAGGGCCAGGACCCTAAGACCAAAAAGACTGAATTCAATGGTCCATAGCTGAAACTAAAATGTGCCTTTATCTTTAATTTCATGTCCTACATTTTGGAGGCACAGTAGAGGGGCTCAGAATCCAAGCTGTAAATATGTTTCAATTTCTATGCAATATTTTTATTTTCTGATTAATCTAATTTTGATTATATTGGTTATAAATTACAATCATCAAAAATTAAATGACATACTTTTTAAATGAATGTTTAATTAATCTATGTGACATTGAGATTTTGAAAAACATTGAAAGACTTCATGTTCTTTTCTATCCCTTTATTAACTTTATGTATTTAGTTTGGTTTACATAACATATGGTTCATGTGCTAGCTTAAATAGAAAAGTAGGAAACGGTTTGAAAGTAGTTTTGTGATCATTTTCATTTATCTCTGTATCATATTTATTTATTGTTTTCAAAGAAACCCAGAGCACTAACTGTTTAACACAAGTTGAAGAGTTAATTGGATCAGAAATACCAACACACTGTTCAGGAATGTGCTGAGTGATATCGTTTATATTTCCTCATGGTTGCTAACCAGATTAAGCACCTGTATTACTTGATTGTTACAGCTTTGTGCGCTGGGACCTGCAGAGTGTTGTGACACTAGATGCTGTAGATGGTGACCCCAACTCAAAATCACACATTGCCCTCAAGAGGATACAGAGCCCTGTTATACTGCTGTACTGCTCCAAGGATGAGGCAGTGTGAGTGTTGGTGTCTTTCGCTTCCTGCCGCGGTGTTTGTATTTCTTTGTCACATTTCAGCTGTGAATCTGTCTGCTCTCCCTAACAGATATATCCTGGAGGAAGCTCGGTCGTTGGGTCTAATAGGAGCTGGTTACATCTGGATTGTGTCAAGTCTCACCACTGGAAATCCAGACTTTACCCCTGAGGTAGTGGAGCCCACAATGTTGCAAACAGGTGGCCACTTTCGGGCGCTTTGACAGGACAAGATTTATTTTGATATCAAGCTGTTTATGCCGTCCTCTACCTTCTCCATATTTCTTCTCTTTAGTTTACCCTGCCTACACTATTAAGTGATACTTTACATGAACATAGATGATTATTTTTTTCATTGCTGGAGTCAATAATTATTATTTTTCCCATTCATTGAGCTCTTTCTTTGTGTCTAAATTATTTAGTTAGCCCTAAAGCAGAATGTTAAGTATGTCTATTGAAATATTATCTACATATAATCTAAATTAATTATTCTGTTCCAATAATATGGAAAGATGGATAGGTCTATCTATCTATCGATAGATAAATAGATAAATAGATCTATTTAAGATCTATCTATCGATAGATAAATCTATCGATAGTTTAAAGTCCTGCATTGAGTGCCTTAATCTATAATTCATTATTTTTACCAGTTCAGTTAAATGTAGTCTACCCGAGAGACCAGCACCTGAAATGTACTTTTTATTTTTCCGTTCAGAATAAATATGGAAAAAAAGAGCATTACCTCTATGGATTTCCAAACTTTTTTATCCAGTCCAATCCATCCATCCATCCATCCATCCATCCATCCATCCATCCATCCATCCATCCATCCATCCATCCATCCATCCATCCATCCATCCATCCATCCATCCATCCATCCATCCATCCATCCATCCATCCATCCATCCATCCATCCATCCATCCATCCATTCATGTCTGTGTCCAAATTTAAACTGTAGAAATGTTTAAAAGAAAATGAACCACTGAGGAACCTGTGAATTTAGAAGAATGGAATTTTGAGGTAAAAAATAGGCTGCAACCCTGAAAAACATATGTAAAATTGAGATGATAATTCTGAGTGATCACCTACTGACCAGGTAACTTTCACTTTCCAGAAACCTAACTTATTCAAGCATGATAAAGAAAAAGACTTTAAGAGAATCATAACCTTCCCAAGAATGTCACCATGTCAGAAACTGGTAAAATGTGGTGAATTTTAGGTAAGCATTTATGCTAATAGGTAAAAAGAGTATTTCAGCAACCAGCAACTTAAAAACATTTTCTTATCTAAATGACATGACGGATTTAGTTTGTCAGAAAAAATAAAGGTGGGGAATGGGAAAGCTATAAAAGGTTCTATTCACACTTCTGTTTGGAGGTTAAGTTACTCACAAATACAACAGTTTTAAAAGCAGGACATTTCTTAACATATGGTATTACAGATGCATGTAATCGTTCTTCCCATGGTAGATGTTGGAATATATTCATGTGTTTGTTTAATCAATCAATCAATCAATCAATCAATCAATCAATCAATCAATCAATCAATCAATCAATCAATCAATCAACCAATCAATCAACCAATCAATCAATCAATCAGTGAAATACTGTTTGGATAGCATTTACAACAGTGACTACTGAACCAAAGTGCTTTCCATTTGCGCATTAATAAAAATAAAGAATAGAATAGAATAGAAAAATATTTTCATGAAATATTAAAGTGTAACTGTCACAGTTCTAAACAAAGTTTAGTTTAAGTTCTCTCTCGTTCTAAACAAATGGGCTTTAGCTTTTATTTAAACAAAATGAGGTAATTGACAATCCACAATTCAAAAGGTAATAAATTCCATAGTTTTGAACCAGTGACAGCACATGAAGTGTCACATCACTGTTGGACCCTGGCCTGGAGATGATTGTTTAAAATTGATCTGAGTACAGAGTCAACACCAAACAGGGATGAACAAAGAAGGAGGGGGATAGGACTAAAGATTTAAAGAGATGAACTGATGGAGATGCTCAGAGTAAGAAAGATTTATACTTGTGGAACTTTCAGCTATGAATTATTTTAGTGTAGCAGGGAAACTTTGACATCGCAGAGGGATACATAAAAAAGTAACAAATTGAAGTAAAACTGAATCCATGTTTGCCACTGTTTTCTTTTTAGATGTATCCCCTGGGAATGATCTCCGTATCTTATGACGACTGGGAGTACCCACTGGAGACGCGGGTGCGCGACGGGGTGGGCATTATTTCCACTGCGGCCTCTTCCATGCTTCGGGAGAAGGGGGATTTGCCAGAGGCCCAAGCCGGCTGCATCAGCACACCATCAGACAGGAGCCCAGGAAAGCTCCCACCTAGTGCCCTGCGCGGGTGTGTATGTATAACATGCATGTGTGTGTGTGTGAGTGGGTTTATGTGTGAGCATAACCCATAGTGTACGAAAATCGGGGTGTACAGACTTGCATAACTCAGCTTGTCTTTGTAGCTCAATGTTCAGCAGTCTTGCATAACCCTTTTAATGTTCTAATTAGAGGGATGGTGCTGGAAAGGAAGCTGAGATGACTGCAGTGTTAAACTCTGTGATTTCTAATGACATTTAACACAGTCAGCTTTTGTGTGTAGCTTTTTGAAGCCAATTGTGTCTCCTTAGCTAAAAGACAAAAACAGTGAAAGGCAGACCTTTATGTTGCTGCTGCTCTGTGTTAACTGGAGCTCAGCAGGTTCTGAGGTGGATGTGTTTCTGCTTCATGACAGGATGCACTTCCAATAACTCAGTCTTATAGCAAGTTTTAATCAGCTTTCTTATTTTTGCTATTTTTGTCATACAACTCGGTGGATAGCACACATCTCCTAGCAGCTATGTTCACGTTTCCTGTACTGTGCAAAAGTCTTGAGTCAACTGTCTTTTTCTTTGTGTTCTCTGTTAAAACGCTTCATACAACTGCCTATCCCAAAATCTTAGTGTCAGGGAAAACGTTAATTTCTTTCAGTAATTAAATCAAAAAATGAAACTTATCTCTGTCCAGCCATTGCTTAAACCCACTATTCAGAGTTCAGGAGTTGGTAAGGTGGTGTGCACCCTGAGGTACACGGGTCACCAGGGCAGCATAGAGACAGACTGGACCAAAAACCATGCAAACACACATGCACACAACTTAGAACAATTCAAAGCAAATAATTACCCTACGTCATATTTCTGGACTCTGGGAGGAACCCAACATTAGGAAAGAGAATGAGTTAAAAAGACAAAACAAACAAAAAAAAACAGGGAAAGAATTAACAAATTTTCAAGAGGGAAGGAGAGGTTTTGATGATGACTGCTTGAAAAAAAATCTGACTATGTACATGTAAAGTAGTGGTCTATGATTATTGCACAGTTCTATATTTGCATATATCATTGACAGGTGTCTGCAGCTGTCTGTGGTGATGGTGTCCTTGTCAGGTTCTTTAGACAGTAAGAGAAGAGAAAATAAGAAGTATGAACAGATAACCACAAGACTGTTCTGTGCAGTTTGTCTTTGTGTTTCTGCTCTGTGATATTGTAACTGCCTCATGAATATGAAATATGCAATGGCCAAAATATGAAATAATACATTGCAAAGCGTATATTAAACTAATAAACACATAGGGTCATTTTGCTCAGCTCTGTTTATCTGGAATGAACTATAAGCTCAAACAGGAGTCATAATTTTGTCATCCTCCTTATTAGTTCATTAAAATATATATTAAGCCATCAACAATAATGCTGATGTAGCAGCATTATTAGCAGCTCTTAATATGAGCTTTCTTAATAGCAGCTTTCTTAAACTTTATTATGTGTCATAAAATAATGTCATTTTTCTCAGTAAGTTATTAGATTTTGTAAAAACAAAAAGAATAAAAAACAGTGAAGCTGGTTTTTGAGGTTGGAATCCTTTCCCTGTCTAGATTCCATCTTTGTCGGAGTGTGAACATCAGTAGCCTGAGACGGAGACGAAGAAACAAGACAACATAATCTGGCATTTAAAAGACACTATCAAATCTGCTGGATCCGACATCACTTGGGTTGCACAAGAATTAAAATCTTAGACTTTCGTATGTGTGAGCTTTGTAATAGTTCAGGTTGGAGATGAGATTTATTCTCTGAGTTTAGAAAAAAATAGTCTTTGTGATGTAGATGTTGTTAATGTTAAAATTATAAACTGTCACTTTTCTTGCTGCTTTAAAGTCATTTTGTTGGAGAAACGTTTTCTTCTACTGCATTCATGCATTTGGAAAAGTTTTGACATCAAGGTCACACAATGTATTACAGATACAGAGAACAAAATGTGGGACGTTTACAATAAGAACAGGTCGATTCAATGTCTTGTTGATTGAAATGCTATTAAAAAACACTTTCTCTTGCAATTTTCCACAGATAAAAGATCTTCTTTATTACAATAATCAAGGAAAAACAACACATCAGGACAAAAAATGATCTGGTTTTCATATGGCTCTAAAATGACTGACACTAAACTGAAGTGTAGAAAAACCCACAATAGATTCCATCTCACAACCTTTTGCAGAAATCAGCATGAAAGCCACAACTCTCAAATGTACAGGTTTCATCTAAAAACATACATTAAGAGTTAGAATTTTTGTCACTCATTTCAGAAGGTGAAACTAATTATGTAAACTCATTACACACTGAGTAAAAGTCAAACATTCTGTGTCTCTGAAAAATAGATTACAAAGACATTTTATGAGAAAACTGCTTCTGAAAAACTGCTCACTAATGCTCAATTAGTGAGCATTCTTGATGGAGGCTCCCTTTGCTTTAAGCAAGTTCTATTGTCTTCATCAGGAGACAACAACAACTAACCTTCTGATGGTACTTTACAAAATCATTATTAAATCTATTCCCACCAAAATCTACTCTAAGCTAAATCTATTAGCCACTGCTCCCCCTGTTTTTTTCACTTTGTTGTCAGTATCATAAAAAACTAAGACTCAATATAGTCTAAAAAAAGTGCATATTTTGACTATCAGCCTGACTAACACAGCAACTATTCATGTTGCATGCACTATAGATTGGGAAAAAGACACTTTTAGAATAGCTTTGTTCCCTCAGCTAACATTGCATTGAACAAATTGCTCTGACAATAGTCCATTCTCCTGTGTTTCATGTGATGCATTTGATCATCTGTGTTGAGAGGCAAGCTGATCAGATCCATAATTTGCAATTTGGAAGACATGAAAAGAGAATCTCCCAAAAAGACAGCACAAGACCTAGAGCAAAGCAGGGGGAGGGAGTAGGAGGGGAAGAAAAGCCTCCACCTTTAAACAGAGTAGAAATAACTCTTGTTGTGCTTTGAAACAATCATATTGTTTCATTAATTAGTTTTCTATTATTCATTTTCTCATTGTTACATTTAACTAAAAACAAATTACAGTTACCATAGGTTTTTTTTTCACATTCATTTACTTTATTTACTTACTTTTTTAATCATTCATGTCCTCTTTGCATTTTCTCCTAAACCTTTTCTCTCCCGTTTGTTTATTTACAGATTTGTTTTTCTTTCCTCCTGTTCTTTTTTCTTTTCTCCTTCTGACTCTTTCTGGAAGGTAAAATGCCAAACAGGAAAAGGTGGCATCAGCGAGCCTGCTCGATTTATTGTTCTGCATGGTTGACAGTGCAGAGAAGAAACATGTTTATTCTCTCTGTAAAATTTCAACTTTAAAACTAAATAGGCCAGGTGTATCAATCATTTTGGGTTTATTATAGGTTTTTAAGTCTCTGTTTGAGTGAACAATGGAGCGAAGTTCTTTGAGCAAATGAAACATAGCACCTAACAATTAGCACACATGACAGCAAACACCTCGTGCAAGCTGAAGGACTGATGAAATGGGTCATTTGGTTGACCACCTTCTGTCCCCTGCTTCAGCCCATCTGAACTGTTGAAGATTAGCATAATCAGGATCATTAACCAAGATAACAATTCCAAACATTGCAGCAGAACAGAAACATGAGGATGGAAGAGAAAATAATAATGCAATACAGGCCCTGTCAAACCTTTGGCGTAAACCTGGTTAAATGAGTCTACTTAATTATACTTTACTTTGTGGTCTGCCTGTATAGTTCTAAGACTTGAACCAGTTTTTCTTGTCAAACACTTTGAGATGTCATTTGGTGTGAATTGGCGCTATATAAATATGATGTATTAAACTGAATTACTGTGATCTTAAAAGAATTGTGTAGAAAATTATATCTGCACTGTAGACCCCCACGAACTGAAACATTGGACTAGAAAACATCACTTTAAGTTATTGATTTTACAATCTGATAACGTTTAGATCATTTTTAATATATTCTATTATAAAACTCTAGGAGTAGGAAAGAGTGTAGCTCTTTTTACAGTGACTGGAGTTGTATTTTTTCCTGAGAAAAAAGCTCTGGATCAAGTCCTTATACATGCATACTCAGACATAAAAATATTAATATTTTAAGCAATATTTTTGAGGCATACATTAGAACCACACCAGTTTCAGTTGTTCAGATGAAACAGATTTTATCCAAACAGGAGGAGACAATTTATTCCCAGAATAAATTGTAATGGTGTTTCAGCAATACATACTCAGCCACGGCAATTTATTGCAACAAGGGCATCACCTGCAGTACTATGAGGAATTTTCAAACATTAAAACATATATTTACCTCAACCTCATTTACTAATAAATGAATCCATTGTAATATGTAATAGGGACATATTCAATCGTAGAGAGTAAAAGTTTCTAGTATGTGTACATGCATAGGTTTATCTGGAGCTTGAAAGAAGGTGTATCAACAACAGCCCTAACCCTCCAAAATGTAACAACACCGTAGTATGCAACAATGTAGCAAACTGTGGATTCAAAAAATATTAAAACATTACTAAATATATTTTATATTTTAAAAAGCACACTATCATTCCATAAATTTAGTTTCTGCAAAATTCAAATGATCTTCTTTTATGATCACAGAAATTATGCTTTCCCACATTGTCCCAATCAATCAATCAATCAATCAATCAATCAATCAATCAATCAATCAATCAATCAATCAATCAATCAATCAATCAATCAATCAATCAATCAATCAATCAATCAATCAATCCAATTTATTTGTACAGCACATTTCAACAACAAGGCAGTTCAAAGTGTTTGACATAAAAGCAACATGCATTATGATATTTTTCACTGGTAGGGTTAATCCATATCTGCAGTCAAATTATTCTTATACATCATGACAATATTTCAGCATATGCATTGACCTTTCAAGGTTCAACAACTCTTGAAGGGTCATAGTAAGAAACAGAAGGGAGAGCTGCTCTCTTTATTTGCTACCATTAAGTTGAAATTGTTCATGGGGCTACTTTTTGGTCAGATGAGGTTTCTGTTGTCAAGCATCATCCGTCAACTCGTGCTTGACAGTGTCAAAATGAATTATTTAAAAGGAAGTGCTTGTCTGTTTTGTAATTTAGTCTTCTCCTTGAACTTCCTCAGATGGCCTATCTTTCTCCCTTTAGAAATTCAAGCCATTATATCATGTCTTAACTAGCAGATCAAGCTTGCTGTCTGAAAGTGGTTTAACCAAAGGGTATGTGTTCTTAGTCTCACATCACTGCTGACTCTTTTGCTGCCTTCCATTGGTTCGCTTTATCAAGCGTAAAGGTTCACCAAAAGCCCGTTTGCACATATATTGAGTAAGTGAGTGAGGCCACCCCCATCGTACCAGTGACTTGTCTTTCAGGCATACATCTGTGAAGGAATCAATGCAGAATGTTGGTGGAAGAGATATATGCCCTCTGACTCTGCATGCCACCCACTCACACACAGATTCACACTCTGAGGCATGCACACATGAACACAGTGAGTGAAGACAGCATTGATTTGTAGAGGATCCTCTTGCAGCGATTACAGAGTGTTTAGTGTTTTATTTGAAATGTATCTGCTGCTGTGCACAAACTGTGACAGATGTGTAACAACAGCTCCCTCTGCTCTCTAACTCTCCATGGGCTGCAGACACATGATGCATGTGTGGAATGAAGGACGAGATCTATCCTTTACTCCAGATGGTTACCAGGCCAACCCCAGATTGGTTGTTATTGTGTTGAACAGTGAAAGAAAGTGGGAGAAGGTAACAATAAAAGTGCTTTTCATTATGATTAAATTTGATGAGAACCTCCGTTAAAAAAAGTAAAAACCGAAAAGGATTCTTGTGTCTGATTTTGTTTGTGTGTACACAGATGGGCCGCTGGGAGAACGGGACGCTGTCCCTCATGTTCCCAGTGTGGCCGAGGTATAATGCCCATGGGGATGAAGATGCTGATGAGAACCACCTCTCCATTGTCACTCTGGAGGAGAAGCCATTTGTCGTTGTGGATAATGTGGACATCCTCACTGGCACCTGCAACAGGAACTCTGTGCCCTGTCGTAAACATGTCAAGCTGTAAGTACCCAAACACTCCAGATGTCAGTGAACTACAGCCAACTACAACTCTAGTTAAAAGTCACATTTATAAAGTATTCAGGGAAAGATTTACAGACTGTGGTTTGCAAAATGTTTTATGCCTACAGCTTCTATGCATAGAACCCCACACACCCCTCAAAAAAATGTTGTCCGACAAAGTGTTTATTCTTGGGGGCTGAATACACTTCCAGATTTTTGTTTATTAAAGGTTTATGGTGGTATTTTATATATAGTAAAATTTGGAAAAAAGCTCAAGTTTTATGAATCAATTTGCAAGGAACCTCATGTTCATAGGGTGATAAGAGAACGCTCCTAAAGTAAATTCCATAAAACTAAAGCAGGTCTTTCTTCATCTATATTTGTATTAAACATCCTTGAAATGGAATTACACCTTTCTAACCGATCTCAGTCTGTCTGACAACACAATTGTCAATCAGATGCTCTTTGCTCGTCATCTTGTATTCTATCTTGGGCCCACTCATTTTTATTTATATAATAATGACTCACCATCTGTTAATGCAGGGGACTGATATCCAGATGTATGTAGCTTTCACTGGAATAAATTCCCATGGTTGGACACATTCACAAGACAGACAGGTTCTCATTAAGTTTGATCTGGGTTTTTTCTTCTTGAATCTATAATGAATTTCTCCCTATTGCTCTTTGCTCAGATGTAATTTACAGTGTAGCCATTTTTGTTCTTTCACTTCAGTTTTATTAGAGCTGTGTTTGTCAGTTAGTAATATAGATTTTGTTTTAAGTAGTGTAGCTATTGATTATATACTCAAGTTTACGGATATTACAATTCATTCGAGAATAAGCTACCCCTCGTAGCCCCTTGCAGTGTTCTTCATGTTTTACACAGCAATCAATTGCTTTTTCTTTTAAAGCCTTAGAAACACCTCCTAAATCTGCAACCTACATTTCAATTCAAAAATACAGGAATGCAAGAATGTATCTACCTTATACAAAGCAACATTTAAAGACATCAGCCAAGAAAAATACAACATTGGACATAAATGGATCTTCCACATACCCATAACCCAAAGCACCCAGCCAAAGAGGTTGTTATAAGGTGGGTTAAGGACAAAAAAGACAATGTTTTGGTGTGGCCATCACAAAGTCCTGATCTCAGTCCTATGAAGAAGTTGTGGGAAGATCTGAACAGGCGTGTGTGAATGAGGCGGCCGACAAAATGGGCTGCCTCACTTGTGCCCCTTTTAGATGAGTTGGAGTTCTGCCTCAGTTCCTCTGCAGAATGCGTCAGAACTCCAGCAAACTGTGGTGACAAACTTGAGGAAGGGAAGAAACTCCAAAAACAGAGGGGTGTTACAAATGAGCTAATGGTTAATAATAATAGCCATTATTATTAATGGTTATTAATAACCATTAATAATTAATAATAATAATAATAATAATAATAATAATAATAACAACAAATAAAAAACTGAATGTAGTTGGTGTTTTCTTGGAAAGGGAGGTAGTTGGACTTGCCAAATAAACTGAACTTATATAGCACTTTTCCACTGGAGTCACAGTTCCCATTTGCACTCACAAATGCACACATTTGTCCACTGATACACAAGCAACTCAAATAGGTAACTTAGGATTAAGTGCCTTGTGCAGGGGTACATGGAAAAATGACAGGAGGATGCTGAAATAGAACCTACAACCTTCTGTTTATTTCTCAGCAGTCTCTCCTTTGAACGGTGGGGAGCTGAGATCGTGTTGGATTTTATCTGCAGGGTTTTGACAGGAACACAATCCTCAAACTGACAAAGGTTTTTGTCTTAGTAAGAGAACAGTCATGTGCCCATAAGTCAGAGGTCTTTAGTTTGGAATTGACTCTCAAGGATTTGCTCACGATAGGATTACTTTTTTTTTTGTTTGTGACGAGAACTTTTCTGGGTTCCTACTGAGTTTTATTTGCCTGCAATACTCATTGTGTGATTATACCCTGATTCCCATGTACCATCATAGACGGCATTTCCTACAAAGGTAGCCATGACCTGTGAAATTATTTCTCTCCCTTGGTTGAAGGTTTTTACCCCTAAAAGTGTCAATTTCTGATATAATAGTTTTGCTGTACTGCACAAAGGGCTGTCTGCTGTACATGCTGGAAGTTGTAGAAATTTTTTTGAGGTTGTCACTTTTGAAGATTTTTGCTTGTAAAAAGTTTGGTTGTGCAAGGTCAATAGACGTTTTGATTGGTTCTTGATTGGTTTGGTTTGGTTGTTCTGGAGCAGAGCTGAAAACTCTTCCAGCTCATCTAAATGAGTTATTTTATTAACTGTTATTTCTTTTTTTTTGTTTCAGAAATGTTACTGATGGGAATTTCCTAAACATTTTTGATATTTTGGTGTTTAAACAAACTTTTAAAGATTACTTCACAGATCAAATAACAATAATCTTCTGAATAAACTGGCAGTGTTAATCGTAATTCTGATCTGTTCTTCCATGACTTATGTAATTTGTGACTTCTGCTATTTTTGCCTCCTTTAAAGCTAAACTGTAGTTGACTCAGCAGTATTGATCCAGCTCCACTAAAGCTTCTGTTGCACATCTAAGGCCAAAAAGTGAAAAGATGTTTAAAGTATCTTTTCCCATCTGTACTCCTGAACCTCTCAGTGCTCTGGGTGTGTGAACTACTTGGTTCAGAAGCTATATGTGGTCTGCCCCATCATCAAACTCTCCAAGTTCTCCTTTTTTGTCTGCCCATGTTCTCCACCCATCTTCCTCCCCTCTGCCTGCCAGTGGCCATTCACATCAAATTCCATATTCTGGCATCCAGCACACCTCTGGGAGTTGCAGGCTGCAATCTAGTCTATTCTCTTCTTTCACCACATGCGGCAACTTAACTTGTAGTTCCCAGCAGCAGCGTTGTCATTATTTCACCTGGCCTTGACTCCTCTCTCAGGTACTCCACTACACTGAAATGTCAGGAATAAAATTACTCTGGAATATTCTGTTGTAAAAAGTATATATTTTTTCTGAATGTTTCTGTTTCCAGTAACCTCAGAGGTCCAGCTCTTGTAAAACCAGTCACCCAAATATACTGCTCAAAAAAATAAAGGGAACACTCAAACAACACAATATAACTCCAAGTAAATCAAACTTCTGTGAAATCAAACTGTCCACTTAGAAAGCAACACTGATTGACAATCAATATCACCTGCTGTTGTGCAAATGGAATAGACAACAGGTGGAAATTATTTTGATATTTATTTCATTCATTCAGATCTGGGATGTGTTATTGAGTGTCCCCTTTATTTTTTTAGCAGTGTATAATACTTTGTATGCATCTCTTTGCACTTTGATCTTATCTATCTTAAAAGTTTTAGTAATTCATAACTGACTTAACTTACAGTGTAAAATTAGTGTGTTTAAAGTTCATTGCAAAAAAATAACTGTGATCAGCCACTTATTTTTGTGTTTTTTAAGACCCCTGACTTTCTTTGAATTTTAGAAAGTTGGTTGTTTTACTCAAGTTAAGTCGAAAGTTATTTATATATCAGTGCTAAACAACAATCACATCATCACAGACAGATTAAATTTATTAATATATCTAACTAATTAAATTCATTCTCAGCCTCAGATTAAAGTATTTTTTTAGTGAACATTAATCAACCCTGATCTTCTACCCCCATGTTTACCCATAGAGGTGGTTTGTTCAGGGTTATGTGTGAGCGTTCTCCATGTTGGCTGAAAGGTTTTGTTTTCCTCTCATTGTACCAGCACATCTTCTACCACATAATTGTCCTGGTGACAGATTATCCCACCTGTGCAATGGGTCTCTGCAGTCTTATTGGCCTCTTGGCTGCTTCCTAGATTAATGCTCACCTTCCCCTGCCTGACAGCCTAGGGGGAGGCTAAATGGTGGTTCGTTTACTGAAGTCCCATTTTCATGATGGACTGAATACTGGAACATGCAATGTTCTAAGCCAGGGGTGCTCAAGTCCAGTCCTCGAGAGCTACCGTCCTGCAACTTTTAGTTGCAGCCTTAATCCAGTAGACCAGGCTCAGCTATGAACAGGCCTGGTAATGAGTCATTCATTTGATTCAGGTGTGTTGGAGCAGGGATGCATCTGATAGTTGCAGGATGGTAGCTCTCGAGGACTGGACTTGAGCACCCCTGTTCTAAGCGGTATATTACTTACTATCCTCAAGTAGAGAGCTGTTAACTGCTCATTTAGATGGTTTGCAGAAAAAAAGAAGCTTGCAAAGATTTGACTTGTGCAGAAATGTAATTGCTCCTTAGGAAAACGTTGTGGGTCTGATTGCGCAATAAACTCCCCATGTGAGATGACTCGCTCATCTAATTGTTCATGCCTAGAGTCTTGCTAATCTAAGTGGTTGCTATGATGCATGTCGTTCTTGTTGTGTCCCTGTCTCTAAGTATAACAACCACACACATGCACACACACACACATTTTTAAAAAGTGAACTCCAGAGTAGAAATCTTGAAAGACAGCCATCATCACTGTGTCCTCTCCTAACAGTCTTGAAGAGAGCCATTGTTCAGGTCATCAAAGAAAGGATCCAAAATTGTTTCTGAGTGTGTTTTGGAAGCAAAGTAAAAACTAAACAAGAGTGACTAAAGATTTTTGTACTATATTTTGTACACAATCTGCTTGACACCAGCTGACCTAAAAACAACATTGGTTTCTCCTTTAATGTGTGGTGTAAAAGTCCAGTGCAAATTTATCTTGTCTGAAGAAAGCTTTGAAATGAAATAAATCATTATTTCATTTAATTAGTAACTGTCATTACTAATGATTTACACACTTACCTTTATCATTCTGAAAGAAATCTTAATGAAGTATAAACTTTCAACGACCGTTCAAACGTTCCTGGAGATATCAGGGTGTAGTGCACTGATTGTCAAAAGCCCAGATGTAAACCCTGCAGATTAAAGGGCAATCAGCTGTGCATAACAGCTTGCCAGAAACACTAGCTCAAAGCCTCTCCCCGAGAAACAGGTCAGATTGAGCTGCCGCTGTGCCACTCACAGACAGTACATTATGGTATTCAGAGTGCAGATGCAGGGGACAACATCATTAAGAATATTCAGATCTGGCCTAAGGTTAAAATGGGCCTTGCACTACTGCTGCTGCATTGACTTTTTATCTCCATATGCCTCTGAGAATAGATGACTGTTGTTCATGTATATCTTACTGAGCAATTTCACTTTATTTTTTGCATTCCTTTTGTGGTTGGCTGTGAACATATGGTGCTGTAAAAACCTTGAACGTTCATTGTGTTTTTATGAAAATGTTACTTTATTGCATCTGTCAGTAAGATGATAAACTCTGTAAAAAATCTAATCAGCAGGGCCTCAGGCCTCAGTGGCAAACTGGGTTGCTGATTTGAGGCATTTTGGACCTTTTCAAATCCAGATAAATGTCAAAGCCAAAAAGTACTTTCAAAGTCCACCCATCCTTTACACACTCAGCTTCAGGGAGCAGATTGTTTTATATTTTAGTGTTGAACAAATAGACTGAAGAACTATTTTATCCCGACACTCATTCATTTTTTTAAACAATCAATGGCCTGAGTTAAGATTACTATTCACTTACTTGAGTTTAATTTTAGTTTTAGTTCTAGTTTATATTTATTTTTTTTTATGTATGCTATTAAATGTTCTCCTTTACCTTGAGATATTTTTCTAATTTTCATCTCACTAATTGTGTCATTTCTTGTGTGAAATTGTTGCAAATTGCTTGCAACAAGTGGTAAAAAAGTGAAGTAAACTGAAATTTCACATGTCATACACAAGCTGGATTACTGCCAGACATTAGAATCAAGAAATTACTTAAGCAGAATGTGTCTGACAACCCAACAGACTAAAAAAAAGCAAAACTTACTGGCCTATTTCTGAAGAAATCCAAACCACAGTCAGACCCTTTATGTAAATTCAGATAATAACAAAAGTATTGCCTACCAGAATTTCTGCAAGAGTGAATCAATGATTCAACCAGGAGTTTATGAAGTAAACCAAAGGAAAATCCAGAAATTTAGGCCTCAGTGGCAAACTGGGTGGTTGTAGGTTTGTACATAAATAGAACAGACAAGAAGAATTAGTGAAGAAAGGTGAAACGCACACCTGAGCAAAGAGAATAATCCATGTTTTTCTAAATCATGGATTGGAACCATGAAGCAGAAAACCCTTAAGGACAATGTCTGGCTTACGCAGCAGGACAGCAATCCAACACACGCCTAAAACTCTACCTTGAGTTTGCTTGAAAAACAAAAATGAAAAGTGTAACAAGGAAACAGAAGGAATCTCTCTGGGCTGAGGCTTTTCCAGCAAAGTTTTTATAAGTTACTGTCCAGCCCATAAGCACACACTCACTTCTCCCGTTTTATTGCTACGTTTTTGTTGTTTCATAGCAAAAGTTAAAGAAATGTGAGGACAACACACTGTTGTTGCTGCATGTTCACTTATGTGTAAATGTGTGTTTACAGAGTGACATAAGGATTCTGATGGGCCCCAGCTGGGAAGAGATCATGTATACAGTGCGTGTGCATTTGAACCCCAGGGACACAGATCGTCCATACTCACAGATGTTGAACACATATTATTATCTTCTTCCATGTATTTTTTAAAATCTTTTTATCTTTCACATCTTTTACCATCATTCTCCATTTTCTCTGCTCTGAGAGCTCTCAGCTCTAGAGCTGAGAGCTCTCAGCTCTAGAGCTGAGAGCTTCACAGATTGGATTCAGAAAAAATGCCATGTGAAAAGGTCATGGAGTTATGATCCATATAAGTTACATCAAAGATGGCCAGCATGGGAATGAAATTAGGTTTTAATGGAAATGCTTTTGAAAAAGGCTGGTACGGTTTAATAGATTATCAGAATCACTTGATCCAGCAATTCAGTTTCTTTCATTGCTGCCAGGTCCTCCAGAGACGACTGTCAGAAAAGTTCACTTAAATATTTGTTTTCTTTCTGTGCATGCACAGTGTGTATGCGTGTGTGTGTGTGGGGGGGGGGGTCTGTGTGTGTGTTTGACTGCAAATAGACACAGGCAAACTTTTATTATGAAGGAGATAAAAGAAACAGAAAGTAGTGAAGAAAAGGACAGCTAATTATTTAATCATGTGGGTTGGTTGCTCTGTGACTATTTAAAGCCAGCAGCATCTGCTCAGTACCCCTGTGTTTTCATCTGGTTTGGTTAGCTGGCACTGAGGGAGACACACAGCACGCTGTCTTTCTCTGCCTTTCAGCAGAATTCACATTTCCTCTTTCTGTTGTAATTCCACATTTACAGTTTGACTGAAGCGGCAGATGTGCACCGTCTAAGCAGCTTAGACGGTTACAAGCAGAAAAAAGCAAAACATACTTCTGGCATGCATCCATGTTGCGTTGTAAATAAAGTCTGGTTAAAAGTGTGCTTTTTTTCCCTGTGTTTGTTACAGAAACACCACTTCAGGAGGTGCCTATATCAAACAGTGCTGCAAAGGTTTCTGCATCGACATTCTGAAGAAGATTGCCAGGAACGTCAAGTTTACCTACGATCTCTATCTGGTTACCAACGGAAAACATGGAAAGAAGATCAATAATGTGTGGAATGGCATGGTTGGAGAGGTAGTGTTACCTTTGTTTCTCAAAAATATAATGACAATTACTGCTGACTTAAAGTGTCAAGGACACAGTAAAACTACTTACATAATTTAAACAGGAGAACTACCATGGCGCTGGCCATCTTGTGATCAGGGTAAGTCAGACTGTGTATTCAGTGTATCTAAGTCAAATTTGTTTAAAGTTGGACTTAGATCTGTTTATTATCATTCAATGACTTGGAGGGAACCGATGTCTAACTCCAAATCTTCACCTTTACTCCCCGTTTGACTTACCCTGATTACGTCACAAGATGGCGCAGGCATTTGACCCAGTTACAGCGATACTCTGCAGTTATAGTAGAAGGATTTATTATTAAAAGCTTTTGAGTACACAGAAAGAAAGCACAGTAGCTCATCTTTTTTAAATCATGTCAGTGGTTTTATCTTGTCAGGACGAAACATCATAAAACATTGAACACTATGCATAGAATAGTTGTGCATAATTTTCTATACAAACTATTCTGTTTCGAGGGGGCGCTGGTGAGCAAGATATGGTGTAGGACGTATTGTTCGGAGCTCCTGCAAAATCCGTAATAATTACATTAAAAAACAGCATTAACCACGTTAATATCTGTTGAAAACCTGGAGAGAAAACCTTAGGATCATAAACATTTGGACAACCCGAACATAATATTCCTGAATGGCCGAAAAACTGCAAAAGTATAGACACGGAAGCGATGCTAATGCTACAAGGCCTGCTAGGACCGCGAGGCAGCGGACAAACAGGTGAAGGGGACCCACTGACGACTACTGGGACTGAGGGCCCAAACATGTGTAACGAAGAAATGAAAGCGGACATCCTATCATCACTGAGAGGTGAAATAGCTAAAGTAATAAGAGACGAACTTAAAGGCGCATTAGCGGAAGATTTTCAAGCTATAAGATCCGAACTGCAAGCGGTCCGCTCCGAAATAGCTAACAGCTCAAAGACCATACAAGGTGAAGTGGATATTATAAAGACGGACGTTCAGGATTTAAAGGGGTGGCCTATCAACATGGTCAGACGAAATCACTTCACTACAGTCTACTGTAACCAGCTTACAAAAGGAAATGTCGACGCTCAAAGATAAATGTGAAGACCTAGAGGGGAGAATGAGAAGGTCCAATATCCGCATAGCGGGCATTGAAGAACGGCCGGGATCCAGCTCCCTGAAGCTGTGGCAAAAATCATCAGAGAAGTCCTGCAGTTGGATCGAGACATAAAGGTGGACCGATCACACCGCACACTCACCGGGAGAGGACCCAGAAACCGGGAGACACCGAGAGTCATCATCGCTAAATTACATCATGACGGGGACGCGGTGGAGATCCTGAGGAGAGCCCGAGGTAGAGCTCCGCTTCTTTACAACGGGCGCCGAGTCGCCTTCTTCCCCGACTACACGGCCAGCGTAGCCAAAGCAAGAGCCACTTTCACGGAGGTACGAAGGGCGTTGCAGGGTAACAAGGAGGTCCGCTATGGCCTACTCTACCCGGCCCGATTCCGGATTACATATCACAATGAAGAAAAGGAGTTCCTTGATCCCAAAACGGCCATGGAATACGTCCGGAACATTATTACTCCAACAGAGACAGCCGAATAAAGGTAGCTACCGTGAGCCCAGAGAGACAACTATATTAGAAAATATTCTCATTGCTATGGCTAATTTTCATATAGTTCTCTTTATACGTCTTAATGATACGAGCAGATATGCTGTTTTATTTCAGATTCCTTTTTTTTCAGGGTTTGCAGGAGCTTGTGCAGTATACTTGAAGCTTTCAAGGCTATATTGTTTGTTTTTTTTTCCTTATGACTTTCCTCATTTGATAGCTTATATACTTATCTAAGCGCACCTACTGCACATATATTCAATCTTGGTTGTGCACTTTAGCGGCTTATCTTAGCTGCTGGGGACTATGTCCCAAGTATTTAAACTGTGTATCTACCTGTTCTATGTTTTTCTAGTTCGGATCCCTCTGTTCCCCGGGGATCCTGCGCAAATCGTTTTTGCAAACTTATTTTCTTCTTGTTATCATCATCTAGCTTTGTTAACTGTTCATACTTATTCTGTGAGAGTTGTCAAAACTTTGCTTTATCCCTATCTGATTAGATTTGTGTACAGTGTGTGCATAATCCGCAGTCCCCACACAATTAAGACAGCTTTATGCATAAAGGATCTGCTGACATTGACAATATATTCTGAGATGTCAAAACATAACTCTTATAGAGATAATGGGTGAACCACTCAAAATTGTAACTTACAATGTAAAAGGGCTCCACAATCCAGTCAAATGGAAGAAAATTTTGAATCAATTAAAACAAATTAACTGTCATATTGCTTTTTTGCAAGAAACCCATCTATCTGACACAGAGCATGAAAAATTAAAACAATCTTGGGCAGATAAGGCTTTCTACTCATCCCACCAGTCAGGGAAAAAAAAGGGAGTTGTCATACTTATGCACCGGCAGATTAATTTCACACAAACGTTGCTACATCGAGACGCAGAGGGGAGATACGTATTAATTAATGGTACAATTGATGGCATTGAAGTATCGCTTGTAAATGTGTATGCACCCAACACAGATGAGCCTGACTTCATAAAGTCACTGTTTAAGGTAATATTGCAGCACAGTACTGGGCTGTTGTTGTTGGGCGGGGACTTCAACTGTACTATGTCACAACTATTGGACAGATTACCCACTCCAAAAACCCCACTCTCTAGAATGAGTAGGATGCTAAAATATCAGATAATAGAGACAGGTATGGCAGACGTATGGAGAAGCAGATTTCCCAGAACTAAAGACTTTACTTTTTACTCAAGCAGTCATGCATCCTACTCTAGGATCGATTATTTCTTTACCCAAAGTCAGAACTATATAGAATAATAGATATAGAAATATTACCTATTACTATTTCTGATCATGCACCTGTTTTATTAAAATGGGACATAGGACATAGGCCAACATCTAAACAATGGAGGCTCAATACATCCCTGCTTAATGATAAAGTATTCATCGCATTTATTAGAGAGGAGCTGAGGATATATCTAGAAACTAATACATCTACAGAAAAAACACCTCTGATAATATGGGATTGTGCCAAAGCATTCCTTCGGGGCCGCATCATTTCCTTCACATCTGCGAGGAAAAAACAGAAGGATGCTAAACAAAAAGATTTGGAGGACAAAATCAAAAAATTAGAGTTCAAACATAAAAGAAACGCTTCAGCTAAAATCATGAAGGAATTAAATGCAACCCGCAGACAACTAAACAGTCTATTATCAGATAAAGTAGAGGGTAACTTGAGGTTCACTAATCAAAAATATTATGAATACGGCCAGAAGGCTAGTAGGTCATTGGCATTTAGACTGAGGAAGCAACAGTCCTCCAACATGGTTCATAAAATAAAAACCCAAGAGTCTGTTGAGACAAGACCTGACAAAATAGCAGAGGCCTTTGCAAAATTTTACAAATTATTATATACGAACACTGATACCTGTAATAATGACCAAGAGCTCACAGATTTTTTAAATAAGATAAAATTGAACCATTTAACGGATGAGGTGGCTTTGGAATTGGATCAACCGATTGAGGAATGGGAGATTAAGCAGATAATTAAATCACTCAAGAACAACAAAAGTCCAGGCCCAGATGGATTTGTCAATGACTTTTATAAAACTTTTATAGATCTCCTGGCTCCCTTGCTATTAAAAGCATATCATCATGCTTTAAAATCCAAAACTATGGCACCGTCTTGGACAGAAGCCACTATAGTAGTAATTCACAAAGAGGGCAAGGATCCTACAGACTGCCAATCATATAGACCTATATCACTGCTGAACACAGGTTTACGCATACTCACAGCAATCCTAGCAAGGCGACTTAACAAATTCATCACCCAAATCATACATCCTGATCAGACAGGATTTATTGTAGGCAGGTACTATGCCCATAATATAAGACGCTTGCTAAACCTAACAAGCGTTCAACAAGAAAGAAAGATTGAATCAGCAATCATATCCTTAGATGCCCAAAAGGCGTTTGACAGAGTGTCATGGAAATATCTAATTCATACTCTGAAACGTTTTGGATTTGGTCCACATTTTGTTGACTGGGTACAAACACTTTACTCCTTCCCTAAGGCAGCAGTTAAAGTTAATGGCTTTAGGTCTGATAGATTTGCACTTGGTCGGGGGTGTAGACAAGGGTGCTCGCTCTCACCCCTTCTGTTTGCCATTAGTATTGAACCGTTAGCCCAAATCATTAGAGATGATGCTAATATTAAAGGAATAGAAATCAGCAAGGAAATACACAAAATCTCATTATATGCAGATGATGTATTATTGGACTTGACTGAACCTAAATCAACAATCCCCCACTTAAAAGAGCTCATCTCCCAATTTGGATTTTACTCTGGCTACAAAGTCAATATAGAAAAAACGGAAGCTATGGACATAAATGGCACAATTTCAGACTCCGTAAAAGTACAGACTGGCTTCAGGTGGCCCAAGAATGGTATCAAATATCTGGGTATTCAAATACCTCCATCTCTATGTGACCTTTATGAGGCAAACTATAGCAAGCTCCTACGTGTGATTAAAAATGATCTGGACCGTTGGAATACTCTCCCTATTTCTCTGATAGGCCGTGTTGAAAGTATCCACATGAATGTCTTACCAAGACTACTCTATTTATTCCAGATGCTACCTGTGGAAATTCCCAAATCTACCTTTGACACCTTGGATAAAATGATAACTGGATTCATTTGGCAAAGGAAGCGTCCTAGAATCAGACTGAAAACTCTGCAGTTATCTAAATCTAAGGGGGGCCTCAAACTCCCAAACTTAAAATATTATTACTGGGCTGCACAACTCAAACCCTTATTGGTTTGGTTACAGAATAGTGCAGATACTCGATGGCTGGGAATAGAGGAAAGCATGTGTTCAGTACCACTGCAAGCATTACCTTTCTTAGATGCTCCTGTAAAGGAAATGACAATCTGGACAAAAAACACCCTCAAAATTTGGAACAAAATACAATCGGCTTTTAAGTTATTAAAACAGATTTCACTTTTATCATGTATAGGATCTATGAAGACATTTGCACCAAACAACTTAGATTCTGGTTTCAAAAACTGGTCTAATTATGGACTGTCTCACATTCATCAATTAATTAATGATGGACATTTCAAAACCTTTGAACAGATGAAGAAAGAATTTGGTCTCCCTAAAACAGACTTTTATAGATATTTACAACTTAGAACCTTTGTGACGACACACAACAATTGGACTAAACTTCACAAACCTACTCCTATAGAAAATTTCCTAATGGACATACAAAGGGGAAAGGAAAATAATAAAGTAATTAGTAAAATATATGACCTGTTTATGTCCATGAATGTGCACGATTCCACAAACATAAAGCATAATTGGGAGACTGAACTGCAGGAGTCAATAGCTGGGGACACATGGGAAGAAATATGTACTGAAGCACATTTAACAACAAATTCTAATACATGGAGAGAATTCAAATGGAAAGTAGTAGTCCGGTTTTTCAGAACGCCAGCAATAACCAGTAAAATGGGCCCAACACAGCCCAGTTCATGCTGGAGAAACTGCGGGATGCAGAATGCAAATCATATGCATATCTTCTGGTCTTGTCCTAAACTAAGTGATTTCTGGAAGGACATTTTTGAAGCTCTCAGTGTTATTTTCAGGAGAAATGTTCCAAAAACTCCCTTGGTGGCAGTTCTGGGAGTAATACCCGATGGAATAGACAGGAAGGGTGATAGATATCTTCTAAGTATCTTGCTCACAGCAGCCTTGAAATGTATAACTATCAGGTGGCTGAAACCAGGGCCTCCTACATAACACATGGATACAAAAAATCTGGGACATTTATCTGATGGAAGGAATCACATATTCCTTAAGGCTTCAAAAAACAGTTTTTGATATAAGGTGGAGCCCGGTCTTACCGTTACTAATTCAATGACGCCCTTACAGGATTGCTTGTTGGCACCTGTATGTACCCATGGGTCAGTTAGAATACCTTACTGTTTAAGAATGTGAGGACCATCCTATGTCAGAGGGGATTTAATTGTGTGTCTTGTATTTTTTTTTTTATATTTATTTATTTTTTTATTTTGTTGTTCTTGTGTGATGTTTGTACTGGTATGTATTCCTTATTGCCTATGTTAGATCATTTGATGTCTCATCTTTTGTCAAGTTATAATGCAGAAGATATATGTCAGTAAGAGACAGACGAATGCAACTGTGGACATGTGTTGTTAAAAATAAATAAAAATAAAGTTTAAAAAAAAAAAAAAAACTATTCTGTTTCCCAAGAATTGACAGAGACTATGAAATTTTACATTTTGGTGAGAACATTTCTGTTTGACATTTTAACATTTTGTAAAGCCATGAAATTAGCCCTTTACGCAACAGTACTCAAGGTTCCCTCTCCTCTTGGCTTCCCAAATGATGAGGTCTTTGGTCAGGTACCAATGCGAGGTGGTGAACCAGGCGAGGTGGACGCCTTGCAAGACTTTTGGCTGTGAGGGACCGGTGGACTCTATCAAGTTGTGGTGGGTTTGGGAGCACTTCTTTCACAAACAGCTTGCAGAGGAGGTTGGACAAGAAATGAGTGGGGGGCCCACTTTCAGTGTCTTCAGGCAGACAGAGGCTGTGGATGTTCTGTTTCCTGCTACTGCTTGATGACTTTGTCCTTTATCTTGACTTTGTCTTAATGAACAGCAGCACAGTCTTTGGAGGCTATCTGCTCACTGGCTCAGATTGTCTGTTGCCTTCTCTAATGAAGAAACTATGTCTGCCTGTTTCTCTACCTGCTATAGTTCCAAGCTAAATATGTTAGTTGAAGATTTGAACTCAGATGTCAGATCCTCCTGGTGCTGCTGAAGCAATGCAGTGATAGCCTCTAGCGTTAAGCTAACGTCGTCTTTTTTACTTCTTTTTGCTCTCTTAGTTGCTGTCACTAGTGGGTACAAAATTTTCAAAACATTAACAACAATGTTATTGTACCAGCGGGCGGACTGAAAGTAGCCATCTGTTGAATGAAATGAATAAAGCAGTTGAACATCTCTGGAGCACTTTGTTGCTGTCTGTCCTTTTCACATGGTAATCCAGAAGTCCTTCATTTATTTATTTTTGATGGATGGATGGATGGATGGATGGATGGATGGATGGATGGATGGATGGATGGATGGATGGATGGATGGATGGATGGATGGATGGATGGATGGATGGATGGATGGATGGATGGATGGATGGATGGATGGATGGATGGATGGATGGATGGATGGATGGATGGATGGATGGATGGATGGATGGATGGATGGATGGATGGATGGATGGATGGATGGATGGATGGATGGATGGATGGATGGATGGATGGATGGATGGATGGATGGAGGATGGATGGATGGATGGATGGATGGATGGATGGATGGATGGATGGATGGATGGATGGATGGATGGATGGATGGATGGATGGATGGATGGATGGATGGATGGATGGATGGATGGATGGATGGATGGATGGATGGATGGAAAATACTAGAGTGTGTATCCTTAGAGTGTTTGGGGGGCTGTTTCTAGCTCTTACTGGGTGAGAAAGCTTGATTTTATGAGTTAAATAAAAATAATTCCCTTTCATGCATGAATTAACATCCGATAATTTAGGATTTTTTTTCCAAAGTGTTTTTCCTATGTTAAATATAAAAGGTGGAGGAAAAACTTTTTTTTTCTAAATTAATGATGAAATCCCATATATTATAAAGTGAACATATTTGACATAAGTTTACAGAATGCATAAATATTGAATATTGCATTCAACTATCATCCTAGCCTAATGTTCACTACTATATTATACCTTTATTCACTCCCTCTCATTCAACAACTTCAGTTAAAGACAGTCTAGTTCCAGGTGTTATTTATTTATTTCAAACATGATAGTATGAAATCATGAACAACAAGAAATGCAAAAGACACATATTTTTGTACCACAGTAATCTTAACATGATAGAAAAGGAATAGGAAAAAGTAAGACATTTGCTCCTACCCGATAAAATCACAATATTTTCAGATGGGCCCTCATTAGCAAATTAAATCAAAAATAAAAATAAACAAGTTCATTAATTTTCCATTTTATCTATACTTTTATACACTACAGGTGGTGTATAAGAAGGCCATCATGGCAGTGGGATCACTGACCATCAACGAGGAAAGGTCAGAGGTCATCGACTTCTCCGTGCCCTTCGTAGAGACTGGTATCAGCGTCATGGTGTCACGCAGCAATGGGACTGTCTCTCCCTCCGCCTTTCTTGGTATCTTTTTGACTTTCTCTAATAAAAATTGTTTTCCCACTTCTGCTTTTTTTTTCTCAGTCTAACATCCTACTGAGAGGACTGCTGGGGCCACAATAATGGGGCGGTGCTTACATGGTGGCAAAATCCTCAACATGAAATGGAATATTTTATTCACTCGCTATATGCTGGCCAAACTCCACTTGTACTCTGACTTCATCTGGGCCTCAAAACCCTAAGCACATTAATATTTCTATCAGAGCAGAGCAAATGGAGCATGCCAGCTGTTTCTATTTTTTTCTCTTTTTTGAAAAATAATCTTAGACAAAGCAGTCTTGATGTTTTCTTCATCTTCCTCCTCTTCCTCCCCTTCTCCAGTTGTTGAGATGACGAGAAACCAAAAGCATTCTGTTTGCCTAATGTCTTGTGTTGTCATTGGAGCGAGACAGGGAGAGAGGGGGTTGGAGTGGGGTGTATTGGACCGTGCATGTGTTGGTCCCTGTGTATCAAGCCATGTGTCAGAATTACATTAAAGAACGTGTTTCTGATGCTGCACTAATACACTGGGATGTTTTTGTATAAAGTAAAGGACGTGTACAAAATGAATGTGCTGTGGCTGTTTATGGTTGATGTTAAAAGCTGAATGCTGTGTGTGCGGGCATGTGTGTGGGCACATGCGTGTGTGTGTGTGGGGGGGGGGTCGAGTCGGGCTCAGGGTATCAGTGACGGTTCAGTATCTCTCGCACTCGTATTAGAAGCACCTCAGCACACAATCTCTCAGGGTTGGCTAACCCTGGCAGTTACATACTTACACATGCAGTGACGCAAACACACACACGCACACAGGCACACACACATTGTGTGGGTTCAGCAGCTCTAGCACTCATCCTGCTGTCTGAACTCTTGGCCTGCTGCACACCAAGCACAGACTCATGCGCACACAAATAAATCATACATTCATGTGGATAGTGGCGCCACATCAGATCACTTACTTTGAATCTTGTCTCTTCCACCTTCCTCTGTCTCTCCACCTTCTTCTCCTCTGTCCCCCTCTGCCCTGAGCCTTGCCATCTCTCTGCTCTCATCCGAGGGAATAATGAAAAATATGGAAATGTGTTCCTTCAAACTCTCTCCCTCCCTTTCCTTCCTTAGAATCTCACTGGTATCTCCTTCGTCATCTTTTTGTATCTCCCTCCCCCTCAATCGTGTTGCTTTTTATGTGCATCTCCTTCTCCTCTTTCATATCTTTTCAGCTCATGGACTCAGTTTCACAAACACTGAGTGTCTCCTTCTCTCCCCAGAGCCCTTCAGTGCATCAGTTTGGGTGATGATGTTTGTGATGTTGCTGATTGTCACAGCCATTGCCGTGTTCCTCTTTGAATTTGTCAGTCCACTGGGCTTCAACCGCAACCTGGCCCAAGGCAAAGGTAGACCTGCACACACACATGTAATATGGGATATCACACCAATAATTTTTCCAGCAGCAGGAAGCAGTAAATCAAAGTTTTCCCCTAAGCAAGAAACAAGTGACTTATTACTGCTCTGACTTGAGTCAATTCATGCAAAAGCAAGATGACATTCCCATCCTGAAGCTGCTCTCCGGAACTTTTGTTTGAATGCAACATCAACACATAGAACCTGAAGCTAACATGTTGCCTCTGAACTGTACTGTTTTAATCAGTTACATCTGATTACAAAATGTCAAACCATAAGAACAGGTTATGGTAACTTTTAGTATAAGTGTAACAATTTATAACCTTTTGTATACCTTGATACTAATAATTGGCCCATGCCTCCGGAACATAAGAGGCATCAGATGGTATTTTGACAATATCAGATAAAACTGTGAGTTCAGGGTTTCATTATGCTTTATCTTTGACTCATCATGCAATCCTTTTCCATTTTTTTGTATTGCTCCGGTTGATCTCTCAGACCCACATGGTCCATCATTCACCATTGGAAAGGCCATATGGCTGCTGTGGGGTCTGGTTTTCAACAACTCTGTGCCTGTGCAGAACCCCAAAGGCACCACCAGTAAATTCATTGTGTCAGTCTGGGCCTTCTTTGCTGTCATCTTTCTGGCCTCGTACACTGCCAACCTGGCTGCCTTTATGATCCAGGAAGAATTTGTGGACCAAGTCACTGGACTGTCTGACAAAAAGGTGGGTTTACACAAACATAGGTACACACACACATATACACACATGCATAGCGGAAACTAAACACATTCGCAGTCAGGGTTGCGCTTGTTATGGATGCCAGGCCTGTGGCCAAACAAGACTCTCTGGGGAGTGCCCTCAGGCTTCACAGCCCAAACCCACTGGCCGCCCCTGTCACCTCACTATCACTGCCAGCACAGCAGAGTCACAGACACACATACATGCACAAACACACACCCACACACATGCAGGCTGCACAGATCAAAGGCAAGAGTGTGTGTAGTTTGCAAGCTTGGCAGTGTCAGCAGAACCCCAGCCAGTCTTACACTACACTGGATACACAATGATGATGACTGATGAGTCCCCTCTGCTATCTTTCCTTCCTTGTCCATCTCTTCTTGCCACTCTCCTCCATTCCTGTCCTCCCGCCTTCACTTTTTCTATATGTTTTCCCCATCTTTTACTTGAACTTTCCTTTTCTTCTTTTCCTTTCCCTTGTTTCTCTCTTCTTGATGTCACTCACGCCTTTTATCTTTGCCTCTCCCCTCTGTGCTCCTCCCACACATCAGTGTAAGTCTCTTTTAACAAATGCCATATCTTTCTTGCTTTCATTTTTCATCTCCCCTCAGTTCCAGAAGCCGCACTCCTACTCCCCACCATTTCGCTTTGGGACGGTTCCCAACGGAAGCACTGAGCGCAACATTCGGAAGAACTACCCAGATATGCACCAGTACATGACTAAGTACCACCAGACTGGCGTTGTGGATGCATTGGTCAGCCTGAAGACAGGGTAATGTAAATTTATCAAGACAGCTCCTCTTATGTTCAAATGCCCTGCAGCTGATTCTCAACCAGCACAAGTATTTAAGAATAACTCAAACCCTTGGTGTCCAGCTTTAACTTGTGCCAAAAGACAGAGGTAGTTTTGCTCTGTGCTTCTATTACTCACAGTAACATGTTTGCAACTGCTCATTATAAACTCCCGCTGCTCTACAAAAAAGGGAAGCGGCCAAAACAGAAAAACTGCAATTTGCTCTGGAGTTGGCTACCTTTTATTCTCCCTCTGTAACTCCCACTAATCGCAGAGCTGTTTTTGTCAGTGTAGGCTTTGATCTTCATGGTATTAAACATAATTTTACTTTTAGAATTTCTATTAATTATTGTATTGATATAGCACAGCATATGCAAAATGTTTGTTTCTAACATCTCACTTTAAAGTAGTTATACAATGTCAAAACTTTGTAATGAAGGTTTTCAGCTGAGTCATATGTGAACAACTTCAGAAGTGAAAATTGTCATGAAAGGAAATCTGAGGACTTGTGTTCATGTCCACAAGAAACATAAGAGCACTATCCTCCCAAAATATACTGTTGTTTTTTTTTAAAGCTAAATGTAATAAATGAATGTACTGTATGATATTTTATTTCCTTAAATATAAGAAATATAACCCCATAGAACAACTGTAAATATGAAGCACCCAAGTAATCTGCCTGGTGCTTTTATTGAGACAATTTTCAAACTACAGTTAGATCTAGAGGAAGTGATTTTTATCTAATTTATGAAAAACCTATATTATTACATTTTACAACCAACTACAGAAGTACAGGTATATTCCATAAAATTAATAATAATCAGTTATATTAATGTTGGCATATAGGAAAACTAAACAGCATTTTGAAACTGTAAGTAAAAGAAGTGAAGCAGAAGTAGCATCTTTGCCACCACAGTAAGAAATACTTTGATCTGTAGGTGGGAATTAATAGTCACATAACTCAGTGTTTTTGAGCAAATCCTTTGGAAAATTTGCAATGAAATGTACAACTTTGCAGTCGCTCAAAAATCGGAGGGCTCTGTTGACTTTGCATGCATTTCTGTGATTGAGGTATCATGAAAAACTGAATGGACGGGACTGATATTCAGTTATGAGTTCCAGCAAAATGGGATTCTGCAATCTATTAAATCAAAGGCCTGAATATCTGTCTTTATTTGACCGGAAGATTTTAAAAAGTTTTAGATCTAAAATAGGTAGCAAATAAAAAAATAAAAAAATATTTTACCTGATTAGGTTTTTAGAATATTAGTAATGCTTCCTTTCAAAATAATTACCTAATATTTATCTCTTCTTTATTTCCTTACATGATTAATTTGTTTTCTTTTTCCCTTCAATTTCATACTGAATTTGGGCGGGTTTTCGTCACAGAAAGCTGGACGCCTTCATTTATGATGCTGCAGTCTTGAACTACATGGCAGGCAGAGATGACGGCTGTAAGCTGGTGACCATCGGCAGCGGATACATCTTTGCCACCACAGGTTATGGGATCGCCCTTCAGAAGGGATCATATTGGAAACGTTTAGTCGATCTGGCTATACTTAGCATCATAGGAGACGGTAAGATACTTAGTCCAATGTATTAGACAGGTTTTTGAGGTTTTCTTAGAAAATTTTATTGATGAACTGTCATCAAAATTATGCTGATAAAAATAAGTATGCTGTTTAAGATGTCTTACCTTTCTGAGAATAATTACATCTTAAAAGATGAATATAAAAACAATCCTAAAAGATTTTGAGGTATTTATCCTTTAATCCCTCATGGTGTTTTCTGTTTTTATCCTCTTTGCTTTCATTTGGTATTGCATCCTCTTCATTTCTGAATTACTCTTTCTACTTGTCCCCAAATCTTTTATCTTTCATCTTTGCCATTCATTCATTTTCAGACACTTTGTTTTTTCTCCTTTTCCACCAGGTGAGATGGAGGAGCTGGAGGCGCAGTGGCTGACCGGGATCTGCCATAATGAAAAGAATGAGGTGATGTCCAGTCAGCTGGATGTGGACAACATGGCAGGAGTCTTCTACATGCTGGCTACAGCCATGGGTCTGTCCATCCTCACCTTCATCTCAGAGCACCTTTTCTACTGGAGGCTGAGATATTGCTTCACCGGTGTCTGCTCTGGCAGGCCGGGTATGCTTTTCACTATCAGCAGGGTGAGAGGAAATCAAACACACACAGTTAACACTTTTCCCACTACTGGAGCCGGTTCCTCAGAATTTACCTTCAAATGTAGCAGCATCAGATTTTGTTTTGATTTGCAGTGAACTGGTGGTCACTACCTCTGTTGCTGCTGGAATTTGCGACTGTGAAAACCATTTATTTGCCAAACTCTCTCCTTCTGTGTGTGTGGTAAAGATGAGAATTATTTGATTAGATCCAGCTCAGACCAAAATGAATTTGCTGCTCCACGGAAAGAATTGCACAGAAGAGAAACAAAACTACTAAAATCATAATAGTAATATCATTATGTACACTACAGGCAATGGTAGCAGCAGTGGCAATGGCGGCAGGAGTTCAACTTTAAATTTGTGTACTGCTGGAGTCTGACCGCCCTCGTCGTTTGCATCTTTGGGCAAGACACTTCTGGTGTTGGTGCAAAATATACAGCCTTGCTTCTGTCAGGCTTCTGCAATCATCAGCGTATGAATGAGCCCTTTGAAATTTAAATAGAAGATATAAAGGACTCAATAAATAAAATTAATCAGACACCCTCAGACATAGGAGGCTGTCTCAACTCGTAATGTGAAACACCTTTGAATCCGTGCTGGTAGACTTAACAGATTCAAAACTTCATTTGTCCCAAAATGAGTCAGATTGTGAAATAAAGTAGGCACCAACAGACCAGGCTTCTGATGCTCTGGTCTGATCTGCTGGTTCATTTACTTGCTGGAATGCATGCAGGAATGTGCTATATGAGTTTTTCTATTTTATTGCAGGTATTATATTCTCAGGATACATTATGATTGTTTTTTTTCTAGATATTTTTTAATATAAATGACTTTTTTCCTGTTTTTCAATATATTTCGGAGTTTGGATAAGTTTTTATTTTTCTAATTAATTTGATTACATTAAGTGGTAGCGCTTTTTGTTATTTTTGATCGGCTCACCAAGTTCACCTTTCTATTAATACTTTTGTTTTTTCCTTTTATGGGACAAAGGGATTGAGAGTATTTACCTCTCTTTTTCTTCTTCACAGAAAATCAAAGCAGCTGAAGCAAAAGTAAATGTTAAGAGTGTTTTAAAATAAAATAATTTTTGAACCCTCATTCTTGCATCCATGTGCTCCAATTTGTTGTGCCCTTAGTGGACGTAACAGGGTACATACGTCTTTCATTTGTAGTGTATCTAATTGTGGTAGAAGCTTTGTTCAGCATACAATGTTGGAGACAAATTTCCCCTTGAGGACATTAAAATACCCCCCTAACTGCTTCCCTCCCTCCAGGTTGGAACCCCTTTTGCATCCATGACTGTCTTTATCTTTTGGGAAATAGGTTCCAAAAGTAGTCACACGTTCTTCAACAATTTTCAGCCACCATAAAATTATAGCATCATGCAGTTGCTGGAAATTTGTCAGCTGGATATCCATGATGCAAATCTACCTTTTCATCACATCTCAAAGGTGCTCTACAGGACTGAGATGTGGTGGCTTCAGAGGCTATCTGACTCATGCAGCTCCAGTAGATTCACACCTTGCAGTCATAAACTAATGGACATAGCCAATGGACTATGCTCTGCATTCAGGTAGACCATAGTGCTCATCTATGAGGTCTAAATTGTGCCCAGAAAATACCCACCATAACAGTGCCAACACCTTATTGAACCATTTATTCAGACTCACATGGATCCATGCCTTTTTGTTTACACCAAATTCTGACACTACCATTCGAATGGTGCTGAACTCGAGACTCACCAGGCTAGGTAAAAATTTTCCAACAGCATTGTCCAAAATTGTTCATATTGGAGAAGCCTGTTTAAATTGTAGCCTCAGTTTGTGCCTCCCAGTGTGGTTTTCTGGTGGCTGCTGTGGCCCATACGCTTTAAGCTTCAACCTGTTGATCAGCCGAAGCTGTTATTTTAGTTATGATTCTGCTTGGCTCTTCTCAGAGTTTCATGCCTACTTCAGGGGTAGTACCAGCGGGACAGAGCAAGGTGGATTCAAATTGATTGACAGTTGGCCACATGCGCAGATTTACTCATGATTAAAGTAACTGAAAACTCCAAACAACATCATAGTTTAGCTGTGGGCCGCAAACATGCCCCCTCCTGGGACGAAGGAGGGGTTATATGAATATGATCAGGAGCAGCACCAGGAACATGTTAAGTTTAGTAGCAGAAATAGAAGGGCTGTGATTTAGCAGCGCTGCTCGCAGCTGGTTGCTCTGAAGAGAAACAGCGATTTTGTGCTCAAGTTTCTGTTTGATCTGTGGTTTTACGCTGATAAACACTAGGACTACATAATATTAGCTTGTGAATTTTATTTTGTACTTTAATTAATAGAAAACAATAATAAAGATTATGCGTGGCTATTCGTTTACATCTTTTGACTGCATCACCAAAGTCTAAAATGTCACACGTTTAACAACAATTGCCAGAATGTAATTGTATTTATATGTATACCGAAATAATCAGCTGATTTGAATCTTTATCATTATGTTTGGACCAGCAAAGAATCTCTGTAAAACTTTTTAAATATCTGGGTTTATTGTAGTCCATCAGAACCAGAACCTGGAGGTTCTCCATTAATAAATGTTCCTGCAAATATCAGGAACATATTGGTTCCTGATATTAACCTAAACGGAAAAGCTCACTACCTGGTGTAGAACCAAAATGCACCTAACCGGTTAGAGCGCGACTTGCCAATGGAAAAGCGCATTTAGTTTTTTTCCCTGGTTTAATACCCTGATAGAGAAAGCAATAAAGTCTAAAAGAAATGATTTTCTATCTTTTAATTTCTTTCACATAACATTTTTTTACATAGTTTTTACTGACCTGAAAAGTTACTTTTTCTTTCTCAAATTCAAGACTTTTACAGGCTGCAGAAACTTTGCAGAAGGCTTGTTTTCTCCATATGCTCTCTCTCTCTCATTTTCTCTCTCTCTGTCTCTGTCACACATGCACACATTCACAAGCAGGTGTCCCAAGTTAAAAATGGTTAAATGTATGCAAGTCCCATAAGCTGATGAAACCACAGACGGACTAGTTGAGGCAGAGGCATGCAAACCTTAATGTACGCACAAAACACAAATGGGCACAGTAAGAACGACCACTTTTACATTATTCATATTTGATGCCTCTGTCTCAGGCAGGGCTTTTATTCCAGACGAGCTGCAGTTCACACATTAAGAATCTTACAAAAAACGTGTGCAATGTGCCTCCAAGTGTGTGTCTGTCTCTGCATGCACATGCTGCTTGAGCAGAGGTACTAGAGGTTAAGTGACTGTAAGAAGAACATTTCCTTGCACTCAGAGACCTCCCTCCAGTGACATCATCCCCTAGATCTAGTTATCAAGCACCGCTGAAAGTAATTCATCTAAAAAAAGTGGTGATTATCTCCCTTTGCCATGCTACAAAATATAATGAGGTTAAGGTTTCTAGTAAACCTACCTAAAAACAATGTAGGGGTCTATTACTTCTCTTTGCAAGAAAATTAATCCTGTGCTTATTTGAACTTTCTTTGGATAAAGTCACTGAATTATGAACCACCTTTAAATGTCTCTATCTCAGTCGACCTTTCTCTCTAATTTCCTCACCTGCCATTTTCTCTTTAATTTTCTGTCCTTTGCTCATCTCAGGGTATATGGAGCTGTATCCATGGTGTTCACATTGACATGAAGAAGAAAGCACCTGAGCTGGACTTCAGCCCTCAAGCTAACATGCTGCACTTGCTCAAATCTGCCAAGTCCATCGCAATGTCATCACCCAAACGCAACACTGTCCTTCTACAACCCAGCATCCTAGACATGATGTCAGGCAAAGGTACTGTACCAGTTTTACATGCAGTGTCTCACAAACTGAAGGTTTTTTTTTTTTTTACATTTTGTCACATTAAACCTCAACTTCAGTGTCTTTTTTTAATTTAAATGTGATAGAATGTAAAGTAGCACATAATAAAAAAATAATGCACTGCATTCAAAACGTTTCATAATAAAGTGTATGTATTTGAATTTGGCCCCCACACTTCCTGTTTCAATAGAGAATTATTCTCTATTCAACAGTTGTTCATTCTTTTCTTAAAAGCTCCAGCTCAGAAAGACTAACTGGAACACATCTATAAACATTAATTTTCAAGTTTTGCCAAAGATTCTTCTCTTGGACAAATTTTGGGTGATGAACGATGAACATGAATTTGCATTAGTCCGAACTTTGCAGCTGTGGCCATGTGGTCATAGTGGTTGTCCTAGTCATCTGCACAGTTATTTGAACCAAAACTATGCTATTTTAAAAACCTGCTCTGTCATGATTTGTAGGTGAAAGTTGGATCAAAAAGCAGTGGCTGCTGCAGCAAGTTGATGAGTTGTTTGATAAAAAATAATAAAGCAAGAAGTTGGAAACAAAATGGGCACTGGGTTACATGCAGGTGATGGGCTGCATCACCTGCACTGTTGAAGGAGGAGAAGAAGCTGTCAAACACTGGGAGGTTGATTGCAGGAACAATGGACTGGGACTAATTACTAACAAGGAGAATCTGTGAGAAAAGCAAAGAAGAGCGAAACAGAGAGAGAGGGAGCAGGATAAATAATATAGCATACTAAAAAAACTGTAATTAAATCTAAAATTACTTCATGGTTATTTGAAATGACAATAGTAAAATTAGAAACCAAGTAAATAGAACAGTCCTGTGGAGGTTGTATCAAATTATTCAGCAGAATTTAGAAATAATGTATGAAAATATGACACAAATATTGTATATACAGACGCATCAAAATAGGAAAACGGTAAAACAGGAGTAGCAGTTTATATTCCGAAACAAAAAAGTTTTTATAAAAAGAACAGATCATTTATAAATTTTTTCAGCAGAGATGTTGGCAATTATTTTGGTATTGCAATAAGTGCTGGAGGTGAGCTGCTGAGAAAGACTGATTAAAAAAAAAAAAGTTTACTTTCGATAAAATAAAGTTTCAGTTTCATGATAATGAATAAACAATAAGCACCAAATAACCCGGGATCTTGGTCTGTACAGTGGTTTTATGTTGTAAATTTGACCTGTGTCCTATCTCATATTTTTCATTGCTATATTTTACATTATATGAATTTTTCTGCTTCTGTTTCTTTGTCACTTTGCTGGCGGTATACCTGATTCTCCCCACCAAGGAACAATAAACATTATTTATGTTCTGTTGTAATGTAATGTCTTGCTAACAGGTGAATCTCTGCCCTGTTTATGAATTAGGTTCCATGAACTCTTAGCAGTTTCTCTATCCCTGCTGCAAAAAAGCAAATCCACAGTATGATGCTTCTGCCACCATCTTCCCCAGTGGGGATATATATATATAAAATTCCCTTCTCACCCACCGTGGGTGGTTCTTATCCTCTGAGCTCGAGTCCTCTACCAGAGGCCTGGGAGCTTGAGGGTCCTGCGCAGTATCTTGGCTGTTTCAAGGACTGCACATTTCTGGACTGAGATGTCTGATGTTATTCCTAGGATCTGTTGTAGCCATTGATCCAGTTTGGGGGTTACTGCCCCGAGGGCCCCGATGACCACAGGCACCACTTGGTATTGCTACATCTACCACAACGGCTTTCCTCTGTTGTTTATCCACTACGACAATGTCTGGTTGGTTCGCCATTACCATTTTGTCTGTCTGGATCTGGAAGTCCCACAGGATCTTAGCTCTGGCGTTCTCCACCACCTTTGGGGGTGTTTCCCACTTTGATCTCAGGGTTTCCAGTCCATATTCTGCACAGACGTGCAGAATATGGCTGCCACTTGGATATGTCGTTCCATGTACGCTTTCCCTGCCAGTATCTTGCACCCTGCTGTGATGTGCTGGACTGTCTCTGGGGCCTCCTTGCACAACCTACACCTTGGGTCTTGTCTGGTGTGGTAGATCTGGGCCTTTATTGCTCTGGTGTTTAGGGCCTGTTCCTGGGCGGCCAGGATGAGGGCCTCTGTGCTGTCCTTGAGTCCAGCTTTTTCCAGCCATTGGTAGGATTTACTGATATCAGCCACTTGGGTTATTTGCTGGTGGTACATCCCATGTAGGGGCTTGTCCTCCCATGATGGTATCTCTGGCACCTCAACCTCCATTCCCTGTTGTCTGAGACATTCACTGAGCACATTGTCTGTTGAGGCTTTTTCCCTGATGTATTTATGGATCTTAGTTGTTTCGTCCTGGACAGTGGTTCTCACACTCACTAGTCCTCTGCCTTTGTCCTTGCGGCTCGTGTACAGTCTCAGGGTGCTGGATTTGGGATGGAACCCTCCATGCATTGTTAGTAGTTTTTGAGTCTTAATATCTGTGGCTTTTATCTCCTCCTTCGGCCAGCTAATTATTCCAGCAGGGTATCTGCATAGCTGTTTATTGCACAGATTTTGTTCTTGCCATTGAGCTGGCTTCTCAGGACTTGCCTTCTTCATTGGAGGTATTTAGCTGTGGCTCCTTTTCTTGTGACCTCATGGTATATCTAGGTACTTGTGCCATGAGCGACTGGCAGCCCAAATATATATATATATATATATATATATATATATATATATATATATTATATATATATAATATATATATATATATATATATATATATATATATATATATATAATATATATATATATATATATATATATATATACACACAACTTTATTATGACTGTTTGATTGTTCATGCTTTGGACATATCTTTGATCTCAGAGGCCTTCACAGAACATTTGAATTTCACAAAAATAATAAACTTCTCTATTGCTCTAGTAATTTTAAAAGAATTGGTTGCACTGGAATTTATATGGATTTATCCGTGACAGCAATTTTTCTTTTTTTCTTTTTTTTTTTGAAAAGCATACACAATTTTCCTATCACTTCCCATATATGGAATTTATCAGTATATCATTATAATAATACACTGATACATTTGTGGCAGCAAGGAGATAAAATGTGAAAAGCTTACCAATTGGTTTAACAAGACACCATTTGATGCAAAATAATCTCTGTCTTTTCCTATTGTTTACATTTGATATGCTTATTTGAGTGCTTACCTCATCTAATATCATCTTGATATATATCAAGCTTCTCCTTGTGTTGATTACAATCTATAGTTGTAATGTCTAAATATGTCTCATGATTACAGGGGGTGTATTCAGTGTGCTGAGGTAATAGATAATGTATCAGCTAACTGGCGAAGCAGTCATGCAATCATCCAACTGTTGTATCTGCTGTCTGAGGAGCATGTCTTTTTGTCTCCTAGGTAACTCACTCCACAGTCTGCCTCAGAAGGGTCCTGGTCTCTATAGCAACGCTGCGGGTCCCCAGGCTTTCCTGTCATTGTCCGGGCGACATAAAAACCATCTTAACAATGCTGCACCATTTCCCAGCCAACAAAAAGCCCCGACTCTCCAGACCAGCCCCAACAAGCCCCAGCTGTCAATCACCAACGATAATGACAAGAACCGCCTGGCTGGGCCTGCTATCACTGCATCAAAGCCACGGGCCTTATGGAAGAAAAGCGTGGAGACGCTGAAGACTCAGCCAAGTGTGGTGTCTCCTGGAGGCCCGAGCCCCACCTCAGCTTCAGGAACTGGGCCTCCACAGATGAAGAGCCAGCGCTACCTGCCGGAAGAGCCGCAACACTCAGACATGTCAGAGTGTTCTAGTCGACCTCCATCGCACAAGGATTCTGACTCTATGGCTGCGAGGGGTGGATTTAAACCAATCAATCAGCTGAGGAAGCGGGGCGGAGGTGGAGGTGGAGGTGAAGGAGGAGGCAGTCGAGGATCTAAGATCTACTCCATTGACTCTGACCAGGCCAGCCTCCAATCTGCTCCTCCCTACCAGAGAGACAGCCAAGGGGGAGGTGATGACCACAGTTACCCCCCTGACCTCTTTCCACCTGATAGCACTTACTCACACTCACACCAGTCAGATGCACCAATTATGCAGCTGAGCGCCAGTCTCCTGCACCACAGTCACAGCGCCGAGGCTGACCTGCACTCCCTAAAGGACAAGAAATACAGCACCTACACACACAGCAAGTATGGGTTCTTGCCTAAAGTAAACTAATAATTAGTCAACAATGGTTGAATTGTCTCCATTTTAAAGGTTTTTTTTTCTTCCTCTATCTAGTGTAAAGGACAAATCTGCAGGATCATTTGAAGCTCCTGGTTCAGGCTCGGCGATACAGGGCACCAGGCCTGGTCACTGCCGTACCTGCCTGACCAAGCTCAGCAGTTACTCTGGCCTCTACACTGTTCGATCCCCACAAGCGCGCTGTGATGCCTGTGCCCACCTGGGGAACTTGTATGACATCAGTGAAGACCACCTGCACTCACACTATGCCCATACTCACCCACACAGTGGTGACATGTTTACTCACTACCTTCCACAGAGTGAGCTTGGCCTGGTGGGCGAGGGCGACGGGCTTGTCAGCCACTTTGAGCCCACCCCATCCTCGCCATCTCCTTTGCCCGCTTCCCCATCAGCCCAACACCTCCAGCTGAGTCGACAGCACTCGTACGAGAATGTGCTTCCAGATGGCATTCCGGAGCGTCAGTCACAACCTCACCCCCACATGCGAGGACTCAGCCTTCCTGACAGGGACCGGGACAGGGAGCTGACCTTGGATGACGGGGCGTATGCCAACGTCCTCACAATGCGCTCTGACCGCCCATACAGCAGTCGCAGCCCGCCCTCTCCGTCCCCATCCCACCACCACAGCCTGGACATCCCGATGCCTATGCCGCGGCGCTCAAAAAGCCTTCTGCCGGATCGCCCATCACACAACCCCTTCCTGCATTCAGCCCCTGGCACAGCACAACGAGACAACACCTCCCAGGCTGCCACTCGGATACCACAGAAAACTTCCTTCCACGAGCTGTACAAACAGAGGATGCAGCTGTCCCTCACTCTTGGCAACCATGGCAGTCATCATGTCAACCAGCATGGTGGTCATGTTGACCAACAGGTGTTTTACCCTCTGCAGGACCCTCCTGTGGTGGCCTACATGGTTCCACCCGCTGCCTCACAGCCAATGAGCTATGTGACAGCACCGCGAGCCTCGAGTGCAGGCGGCAATCGGCCTCGGCTGTACCGTCGCATGCCCAGCATCGAGTCTGATGTCTGAGAGTCACAAATAACACAGCTTTACTCTCACCAAACACACAAGCATGCAAGAAGGGGTGTGTGGCTGGACCTGGGAGCTCTGGTTCTAAGCACATATGAAGATACACACACGCAGACACACTCATGGGTGAAAGATTGAGCTCAGCAGTGGACCAAAGGGATTAACAGTGAAACAGAGTAAATACATTTCTTTATGAAAAGCCTCTGTAGGGCAGTAAAAGGGCCACAGGGACACCTGGAGGCAAAGTTTCAAAATGAAGAATGTGTGTGTGACAGTGTGTGTACTAGCCAGAAGCTGTGGGCAGCGGGATACAAACTGACAATACTTCTGACTAGACAGATGGAACTCCTTGTGAAAAAAGTGGGACACTGCAGAATCTAACCCCAACAGTGGAATCTAACACAAAAAAAAGAAAGAAAAGAAAATGCTAGAAAGACAAGCAAACCCATCCCATTCTCTCTGAGTTAAAGGGTCAAAGACGATCCCCTTTTATCTGAGATTACACAAAGACGTACACACGCATACACAGTTTACCCCAACAGTACCCACCTGCCCTTCCTCTTCAGGACTCTCCTGTTGCACTATAATTTCTCCTCCTGTTAACATGTTTGTTGTCTGAGCCGCCAAACTGCACTGCCAGCATGGCTTACAGAGTAAGGGCCACAGGGACACCTGGAGGCAAAGTTTTGGCAGTCTTTTATCTACGTAAAAGACTGGAAGGTGTTCGGGAAACCAATCTTAGAATGAAGCTCCTGCCTGCAGATGTACAAACACTTGAACACACATGCACACAATCTAAAAACAGATTCTACATCTGTTTCTTATGGGAAAGCTCAAACTACCGACTGTTTGTTATTGCTGATGTCAGTTAATTGAACATTCCAAAAGGTGGACCAAACTTGGCCACCAGAAGAAAAAAAATTACCTCTCAGGATGATGGTGTGTGTTCCTGAGTTTCTAAATCTAACAAAGTGCAGCATCTTTGCTTCCTCTCTTAGCTAGCCTTCAGGTCTTAATGCATGCTTCCAACTGCCCTGTGTTACACTTAAGCTCCTTATACAGGGTCATATATGCACAGGCACTCACACCCGCACAAACACAAAGTACATGCACATTATGACATATACGCACATGTGCAGATTCGCAGTAGTCTAGTAGAATAAGGTGGTTGTGTGTGTGAGGGGGGGGGGGGGTGCGTGTGCGTGTCTGTGTGTGTGTGTGTGTGTGAAGCTATGAGATAGCTTCTCTTTGTGCACTTTGTAGATTTTATATCTCTGCCACCCACACAGACGTTTGACCAAAAAACACTTTTGTACGGAAAAATATGAATATTCTCAGTCACTTGCTGGATAGAGGTTTTCTTTTTCCTCTTATTTCTTTTTAGTGGGTTTTAGGGTACAGTGTAGGGCAGAGCTCTTCCAGAATCAAACATTTTTAGCAGTCAACAAAGAGTTACAATATCATGCATACAATATACACAACGCAAACACTTTTCTCTTCCTTTGTCTACTTTAATGAAGCTCATTCCGCCTTTGAGCCTTTTTCTGCTTTCCTAATCGGATGGTTTCTGTTTATCCTCTATTGCTTATTGCTCTTCCCCTGCTCCCTGCCGTAGAGTAGATAAAGTATGAAAAGAGTAAAGTTCAGTCTTGGTGTTAAAAATAATAAATTTTTGATGGAGGTCACGTAATATCAGTGGTGAGAGATCATCAGAGTCCACACTATTTCTCAAAGGATGCAGTGTCCTTTTCTGATACCTTTCTATGTAAAACATAAGGACTTGCAGACTTTTTAAATGTATTTGTAGTGAACGTTTAGGCAGAGTGCATCTTCAGGTGCAGGTTTTCATCATCAAAATTATTGTAGAGTAGCTGGTATGGTACTGGAGTACTCCTAACCTTTAGTACCAGGAGGTGCTGCCTTTCATCTCAGAGAGGCACGCAAAAGAGACTTATTTCAGAAGCAGCACACATACACACGAGCACAGACTCGACAGGCCGGCAATGTGCATATGAGTGTTTTAGAAATCCATAACCTACCAAGCAAGGGCATTGATTTTTCGGCACAAGGATTTTGATAGAAACAAGAATTGATGTCCCATTAGCTGAGTGTCTCTCTCTATTCTCTTTTTTGCTCTTGTACTCTCTCTCTCTCTCACGAACAACCACACTCACTTCTAAACAAAACATAAGTGACAAATGTGACAAACAGAGAATGCAGGACAGTTTAATAAAAAAAGAGAAAAGACAATGCACCTTTGAAAGGTGAGTGCTGCCCCTATTTTGGTAATCTTAATAGGTTTGTTTTGTGAGTTATATACAAAATATCAGGTTGCAATATTAAACTTCTGTACAGAGATTTATTTTGGTTTGTTTTTACTGTTTGGAAATTGTTTCAATTGTTTGATTTAAATTGTATTAAATATTGAATTCATTTTAAATGCAACATGACTTTAAATTCTGCTTTAAAAAATGAAAGGCATGTTTTACATTCTTCTGTCATTTTATTTCCCTACTCCTTCCACTAAAGTGCTACAAGTTGGGACCTCACTGTACAGTCATCACAGATGGTTTAGCTCAGTAGTTAACTATGTGGGTCAGCTAACCAGTTTTCTAACTTACCCAGCTGAACCGTATTTGGTGACTGTCCAACTTGCGTGGTTTAAACATACCCATTCCACCCACTGTGTTCTCTTCCACCACGTGTCTGTTCTTTTCCACCTCTGAGTGTGAGAGTATGCATGCGTGTGTGTGAGTGTGTGCTTCACTTTGTGAAGCCATTTGTATAAAAGAGAGAATGTGTGTATTAGAGGTTACTTGGGTGTATGTGTCTGTGTTTTTGACATATTCTTTCTTTGATCCTATACACAACATTTGAACTGGCTTTTATGTATTTGTGTTGCATTATTATTGATGCAACAATAATAATGCAACACAAACCATGATCACCTGACATCATGGTTTGTGTTGCATTATTATCGATGCAACACAAATACATAAACATGCACACACACACGCAAACATGTCTCTATTGTCATGTTAAGAAAGCATGTTGAATAAGTTTGTACATCCACCACCAGAGATTTTTTTTTTCAACCCTTTAATTTTGATTTTTTGGGGGTTTTGTTTTTGTTGCTGCATGACATGCTTGTATTTTCAGTGGTTCATATTTTGCTGCAACATCTGATTTCTCCCTGGGTTTGGACCCTCGGGGCTACATGCACCGACACACACACCTTCCACCCTAACTGACATACCTTTCTGGATCAGAGTTCCACACCTTGTATTTCCTGCTTGGATTGTGAGCAACACAGCACCTGGCTGAGGAATCCTTTGTATGGAATTCAGAACCAACTGAGATCTTAGTTTTAAACTCATTCTTCCAGCTCTGGGTGAAAGGAGTGAGTTGGTGTGTAGTCCTGTAAGTTTCTGTTGTGTATCAAATCTGTGTATAAGTTCAGGGGTTTCAAAGCTACTAGTTGTGTTGTAAATACTACCTTATCACTCAGTACCTCTGTACAAACTGTAAATAAGTAAAGGTTAAATTTTTCTACTTGTGTGAGTCTTGTTTATCTATCTAAACAGTCTATCCATCTATATTTATCTAGCTAAATTCCATCTTTCTTACCAACTATACCTTCTAATTTGGTTGTTAAATTAAGTTCATTTCAATTTGAAGTTAATTTATTACTTCTTCGTCCTATTTTTCTTTTAACGCATAATGTTTCCAGCCAGATAGCTTAAAAATTTGTTTTTGGCTGTAATACCTGCTAGTTATTGTGCTAAAGAGGATTTTTCTTCAGTTATAATGCAATTTTTTTGCAGTGTTGCTAACTAACATATGTTTGTTTGGTTGATTTAATAGATTTTAATCTAAATTTTCAGCTTGATACAATATTTTGACTCTTTATTGTTCAATTGCTTGCTAAATATTTAAGCTATTTTGTTAGCTATCATGTCTGTTTTGTTTTTACTAGTTAAATGTTATGTTAGGTCCAAAACTCTGAATCCCCGAATTAACACGGTCACAATTTCCAGGAAGGAGGACTTTCTCAGCATGATCACCTGACATCATGGTTTAACCAACGTCTGCTGCTCAGAGCAGCTTGAGAGAAGCTGCCACAGGCCACTTCACTGGTGGGACATCTACCTGAATCCTTTTCCTTGCTGGTTGAGAATTCCTGTCTTCAAAATTAATTGGTCTACCATTTGCCAAACTGGTAACTGTATCCCAGCAGAAAATAAGCCTCAACCTAGCTTATCAAAGCACCTGAAAAAAGAATATTGATATTATTCAATCCCCTGGAAGAAAAGCTGTCTGATAACCTGGATGAAGTAGTTCTTCTGCTCCTCTGTCCAGAGAGAACACAAATCTGAGCTCTACACACATGCTATCAGTGTTAGACAGACCAGGCTTCTGCCCGGACAAACACAAACTTCCCCAGCTTCTAGCTTGAGTGGTCTGCTACTGTACAATGGGTTTTTCCTTGTTTATTGAATTGGGCAAGGCCACCAGGTTTGTTGTTATTGTTCATTGGATGCCAATCGATCCTATGTTAAGGAATGTGATTGAGGAAATTTAGGTTAGAATAACACAATTTATTATGGCTTAAATTACCTTTTTGAATTGTTGATGCCTTAACTAAATCAGACCACAGCAGTCCGAGAGCAAGAAGATCTGAGGATTCTAACTTTTTCCTTTTCCCTCTCCTCATTAACCTTAATAAAGTAGGTCCACTGAATCCTTAAAAAATGTTCACATTATCTTAGGTGCAAATAGAAAAATGCTTCATGCTGATGCTAAAAGTAAGTTAGTTAGCCACCATTATTGTCTTTAAAGACAAACCTTGGTTTGTACCACAACAATTCTTCTTCATCCTAGGTAAAAGACAAACCTTGGTTTTTAATTATACATATTCCCACTGAACTGTGATATCACTGTTGGTTAGTGTTTTTATTCATATTTGATCCTTATCCCATTTTCTTTGTAGTTCACAACATATTTGCAAACTAATTCTAGTGGAAAACTAATTTGGCCTCTTTCAAGATTCCTCAAAATAATCCTGGTTCATACTAAACTGTGATATTATTGTGTCATTTTAGTGCTTTTTGATTTATTCTTATTTGTTCCCTTCCTATTCCATGTTAGGTAGTTTATTAGTTTAATTATTATTTTATTTTCACTTAATTTGAAGTCTGAGTATTTTTGTTAATAAATTATTGGATTTTGGAGAGAAGTTGTCTGTGTTTATTCATTATATGTGTGCAGAGCATCAGTGATCAACATAATCATTTATCTATTGTTATTCAATACCAAACATTGTCAAGCAGTTGTTGATAAAAAAAAAATAAAACAGACTGAAAATTATCTGATAATCATGTTGTATCCACATTTGCTCATCTTGATCAAAATTACAAATTTTGTAAATAATTAACTTCGGAACTTAGTTTAGATCAGAGGTACCCAAAGTTGGTCCTAGAGGGCCAGCATCCTGCATGTGTTAGTTCTCTCCCTGGTGACAATATCAACCTTCTTAGCAAGTCAATGTTCTTGTTAGGCTTTCTAATGAGCCATCACTTAATACTGTGTGTTAAACCAGGGAGACAATGGGGTAAGGGGTTAGCACACCTCAGTCCTCGTCGCGGACGTCACAGGTTCGACTCCCGGTCCCAGCAACCGTTGCCGCATGTCTTGCCCCCTCTCCTCGCCCTCTTTCCTGTCTTCCTACTGTCAAAAAACTCTTCAGAGAAAAAGAAAAAGATTAAAAAGAAAGAGGAAAAACAGGGAGAGAACTAAAACATGCCGGCCCTCGAGGACCAACTTTGTGTTTAGATCAGGGGTCAGCAACCCGTGGCTCTTTAGCGCTGCCCTAGAGGCTCTTTGGAGCTTCATCAGAAATGTTTGAAAATGGAAAAAGATAGGTGTGGGAAATATAGTTTTGTTTTAATATGTCTTCTGTAGGAGGACAAACACAACACAGTCAAGAAAGAAAGCAAGCACAGAAAATGCATTTTCTAGAAATTGCGAACTCGGGCAGAAAGCAATTCGAATTCTCTGTTGTAAACAAAAACCTTTCTCTAAATTTAAATATATGCAATATGCATTAAGAGGTGTGTTTTTCCTTTGTGGGGGCTGTCTTAATGTTACTTTTATTACCTTTGCTAAAGAGCCCCAAAGGTAGATATGGATTGTCAAACTGGGTCTTTGCCGTACCAGGTGTCTCCTGTAAATCCTCCTTTGGATAAATTTACGACCTATGCTTGTTTTGGTTTTCTGCCTCAGTGATTGAACTAGAACGTGTTTATGTTTTACTGAAACAAAATCTAATGCTAAATACTAACTATAAGTTTGGATCTAAAACTAATTCAAAACATGCTTAAAGAAATATATTTAATTCTAGTATGGATAAAATTATTTATACAAAATTTTAAGATCCTAGTGAACTTTTGAACCACACTAAGGAATTTGTTAATTGCCTGGCAGACAGACTCCCTGTCTATAGATCAGTTAAGGAGCCTAGGTCTCTTTTTCTGTAAAACCCTCCTTATAGAATTCATGTAAGTTTCAGAGAATCACCAGCTGCCCCAGCCTGGATCTTTATCTAAGCTTGTTTTAACATAAAGGTTAGTCTGTGTATGATTGTGCTAATTTAAAATTGTATTTTAACAGTTTTCAACACCAAAAATATTTTCCACGCAAAGAACAAAACATTCAGTCCATTGTAGTAGTATGGTTTTAGGGTTAAGGTTTATTTTGCGATTATTAATAAGGTAGATTATAGCTACCGTTGCTATTAGGTAGGCTAACAGCAGTGTGTTAAGCACACACATTTTATACATAAGCTAATGTATATGGATTCTTTACATATTCTCCAAAAAAGGACATTTCATTTATAAGCCAGACAAAAAAATTTTATTGCCGTCTTACCTTATATATGAAGTCAGTGTGCTGCTCATTCTGAACAAAAATATCAGTTCATCCAAAGCCAACACAATTTGAGAAAAGGAGGCAAGAAAAGGCCTTTTCTAGTAGGACATCCACAAAGCCAGTTTTTTCTTTCCTTTTGAAAACAGCGGGTACCAATCTGTCTCATACATTAGTTTGAAACAAACCTTTCAGCTCCGGTGTTGGTCTTTCTTTAGTTCCTGCTTCGATTGAAAATCTACTTTAGAAAACTGTTTAAGTATAGAAATGAAGCCTAGGCGCAAATTCAAACTGGAAGACTCTTCCTAGCCCTATCTGCACCTTCTAATTGGGGAGTCCCGCCTTTCGCCTTCCGCCTTTCAACTCTGGTTCAAGCCATGTCACGTCCAATCACCGACCAAGCCCCAGCTGATAAGATCCTCCATCCATAGCATCTTCCACTCTCCAGCCAAGCTCAACCCACCACCAGTGCTGGGTCCTGAGGGGATTACATTTCTATCAGCATCGGGAATGCTCATCCGAGCTTATCGCAAATATTTGCGATAATCGATGCCCTCAGCCAGGGCCCGAGCCCAAAGACTTTAAGTTTTGTATGTCAATAAAGTCTTCTAATTGTCTTCTTCTCTCCATCTGAGTCTGTCCAGTTTAAAATTGTCATCCGCATTGATGTCAGAAGAGAGGAGAAAACAATAAATAAATTGCTGCACTTGACTTATTTACTGTATGGCTACTCACTGTCTCCTTTTCTGCAGAAGAAAAGTCACAATATTATTGTCAGGGTTCATGAGCGCCTCCTGCCACGAGGCAACAAAACTGCCTGCCTCACCTTGAATCTGTTCTCTGCGGTTTATGATTATTCTTCAGCACACACATTATATCCATAAGCTACATAATATTATATATATATATATATATATATATATATATATATATATATATATATATATATATGCTCTAATCTGAGCATCCATCTCTGGGGGAGCAGATAGTCGCATATAGACACACGTCTTTATGTTAAAAAACATAGTTAAAATTGCACACTGGGAGGCTTGAGGTTCTGTCACAAGTCATAGACCAGCTACAGCCAGAAGAGAGAGGGGAACAAAGACATGAGGAAGACTACACTTTTGTTCTCTTTGGAATGGAAACCAATCTAGAATTTACTACAGAGACTTACAGGGCTGTATCTGTAAGCGGTCACGTTTATAAGTGTGTAAGTGTGCATGCTGCTTCCTCAGAGTCAGAATGTGAGGACTACAGTGGCCTAATTCTTCCTGACATTCTCCATCTGCTCGTATCTAATGGACAGTGTAACGACACACTCTTTGACACAAGCCGTTACCTCCAATTTAATTTATAGAATTTGGAGACCTCCACATGTCCAGCTGTAATGCAATTACTGTTACACACTGGAGCAGAATACATTGAACCCCGCAGAAACATACAAGACTTAACATTCATAAACACAAGCCCATATTCACACAGATAGGTCGACTTAATCTCCTGGCTGCACACACATGAACATGCGATCGTCTGCTCTACCACATATAGCCAGCCATACTCTAAGGGTGTGAGATGAAGCAGATAAATGAAGATAATTAATTTCCTGGATTAAGAGCGTCTCCATC